AACAAGAGGCACACTTTGGGCCTGTCCCCACTGGGGAGTTTATTCAACGATTCTGCCTTTTAGTCAATGTAAGAACGTATCTGGCAAGGAGACACATGTGGCATCAAGCCTTGTTGGCACTCTGGTCTTAAAGACCTAGAGGTGGACACAGAGAGACAAAAGGCTTCAGGTGGTTAATTCTCCTGCCCCATGCTCACTCTGCTCACTGTATGCAAAAACATTACACTTAATGCATTTAAATTTTTTCAAAACTTTTATGAATTAGTGATTGCAGTGTTTTTTCTTCTTCAGATAGCTGCATGTTCCCTGGATTTTACATCTTTTGAATAAAAACATATTCTTGGGTCACAGAATCTGGAAATTTATTTAATCCTCACCAGAGGATATGTTTATTGATTCCAAAGAGAAAGGAAGGGAGAGACAGAGAAATATTGATGTGAGAGACAAACATGGATCGGTTGCTTCCTGTACATACCCCAACCAGGAATCGAACCTGCAACCTAGGCATGTGCCCTGATTGGGATCGAACCTGCAGCCTTTTGGTGTATGGAGACAATGCTGAGCAACCTGGCCAGGGCAGCGTGAGTCTTTTTGTTTTTTAGTTTTTTAGAGTAATTACTTGTAATTAGAGTTTAAATCAAGGCATAGTATCTTCAGTCTAATTTTTTCTGTAATGTGTCAACAATTCAGACGTTTTTCTGATCTGTTTAGATATGCTAGTCTTACTTAAGAACAAGAAACTGTTGAAGGAATAAGCATGGAGGTGGGTAGGACTAAACATGTCTGCATGCCAAGAGTGGTACTTAGTGACTCAAACACCTCTAAACAAAAGACTGCTGCTTCTCTGAGCCCTTGAGTTCCAAAGATTATTATTAATGGAACTGGGTATTGTTTTTACTTTGCCACATAATCTCTCCTTAATTAGTAGACCTGGATTCCAGGTTCAGTTCAGTCCCCACTAGCTTGATGGCCTTAAGCATTAGTCAACATTTCTGCACCTTAGTTGTCTCACTTGTAAAATGAGGCTAATGTCACCTTCGTGGGATTGTCTGAGATAAAATGTGAAAGCACCCAATATGTATTTATACTCTGAAGAACAAATAGCAGAGCTGCTTCCCAACATTTTATTTTAAAAGTTTTCAAAAATTCAAAGAGTTGAAAGCGAACACTCATGTGTCACTTATATTCTGCAATTGACCTAGACTATTTTATCATGTCAGTCCATCTATTCCTCTATCCATTCATTTATCCATCTTACTTAATGTAATTCATAGTAAGCTGCAGAGATAAACTTCATCCCTAAATACTTCAAAGTAAGGCCGAGCTTTATATGTAAGAAACTTTAGCTCTCCCTTAAAGTTCAGATGCGCCATATTATGGACCAAGTAAAATTTATGAACCATAATAATCTCCTGTATCTTTTATGACATCTCATAATTATCTGATCAAGATTCTTGAACAAATATTTACAATTTTGTGGGCAATAAAACAGTTGGAAAGCAAGAGCACCTCTGTATTTTTATTCTGATTGGCACGAAAGAAAACATGACATCAGCCAGTTATAATGGAACAGTTTTAGTCTTGAAAGTTTGTCTCAATCTGACTAGTTGAAGACAAGTTTGTTGTTTAGCTCCATCTTAAGTCTTTTCCATCCTAGTGCAAAAAGAATCCATTTAAAATACAGTACCTGAGTAAACAAAAGTATTTTTTGGTACTTGTGAAATGCTTAATAGTATCTCTTTAGGTAAAGTTGATCCTCCTGTTTAAAAGTAGATTCATTTCTGAGCATATATTTTTCCTTACTCCATTTCTACACTATTCACCACAATAAGTGCAGTGAGGCACCTACAGAAGTCAAAGTTAAAGTTATAAAAAATGAGCATATAACTGTAGAAGCAAAATTAGCAGAAGTCACACTTTAGCCAAAAAGCATTCCAGGTAAAAAAAAAAAAAAAAAAAAGCAAGCGTAGGGCCAGAAGATACAAAGATTGAAAAGACGGTAGCTTGATTGGCAAAGAACATTCCTGAACACAAAGTGGAGACTCAACTTGTGCCAAAGAGCCAAGCAAAAAAAAAAAAAAAAAAAAAAAAAAAAAAAAGAAGACCAGACTGGGCTGCTGCAAACAGAGACCTTGAAGGCCTTTTTATCTTCAGTGACCAGCCCCATGCTGAGCAAATACTGCCAGACATCCTGCCTCATTTCAGGAATATTCCAAACATAGGGATGAAGACATCTAGAACATATGGCTACAATCCATTAAGATGAACCATCTGGCCTAAAATATAGGAAGATGTGGAGTCTAGGAAATAGACGATACTATCCAGGAGAGCAGAAAGGGAATACCCTGCATGACAGCTGAGGCTGAGTCTAGTTAGGAGAAAAAGGATTAGGGGTTCAGGAGGAAAACTTCCCTGGAAAAAAAATGGGGATTTGAGATTTGATGCTATCCTTGGTAATTTGGAACAAGTTTAAGAAGCAAAAAGGGCAGATAATGCAAGGAGAAAATAATTATAAAATTCAAGAAATGTGATCATGGTAATTATATTACAAATATACATGTATCAACATGTAAACCTTAAATTTACATAATATTATGTCAAATATATTTCAATTTTTAAAAACCACAACAGTTGACAAGACAGGAAATATAGAATGTATCAGAAATATTATTTACAATAATTTATTACATTAAGTATGTTGGGAAAGAGGTGAGGGGAATGGCGCTAGAAACTAAGCAAGTATCATAGCAGGATGTCCATAAACGATACATCTAAAATTAAGATATCAATAGCAGTGAAAGTGTGTTAAACACTTTAGCATAGTATTTTCAAGATGTGAAACAACAGTTTCATTAAAAAATGAAAGCTCTAGGAGAAATGGCTGAGGGTTAAAAGTGTATTGATTCAGTCTGCGAAGGTGAAAAAGTTCTGGAGCTGGACGGTGGTGATGGTTGCACAACATTATGAACATACTTCACACCACTGAACTGTACACTTAAAAATGGTTAAAATGGTAACTTTTATGTTATGTATTACCACAATTTTTAAAAGAATAAAGTGCTGCGTTGGCCAGACAGCTCCATTGGTTGGAACGTTGTCCTGTACACTAAAAGTCTGTGGGTTTGATTCCTGGTCAGGGCACATACCTAGGTTGCGGTTGGATCACCTGTCAGGACACATACAGGAGGCAACCGATGGATGCTTCTTTTTCATAGATGTTTTTCCCCTTTCTCTCTCTCCCCCACTCCCTTCACCTCTCTCTCTAAAATCAATCCTCTGGTGAGGATTTAAAAAAAAAAAAAAAAAAGGAATGAAGTGCTCATATATGCTACAACATGGATGAACTTTAAAAACACTATATGAAGTGAAAGAAGCCAGACACAAAAGGACAAATATTGTATGATTCCACTTATATGAGATATCAGAACAGGCAAATTGAGACAGAAAAATGAGAAATTACCAGGGGGTGGGGGAGAGGGGAATAGTAACTGACTGCTTAATGGGTTCTGAGTTTCCTTTTGTGATGAAAATATTTTAGAAATAGTGGTGACGGTTGCACAACAATGTTAATGTAATTAATGCCACTGAATTATAAATATAAAAATGGTTAAAATGGCAAATTATATATCATATATTCTACCACAATCTGAAAATAATGTAATATACCAAAAACCATTGAACTGTACACTTTAAATGGGTGAATTGCATAATGAGTGAATTACATCTCAAAGCTTTTAAATGAAATTGTACACAAATGTTTAAAGCAGCAGTAGACAAAAGGTGGAAACCACCCAAGTATTCATCTCCATCAACTGATGTATAAACAAAATGATATATCCATACAATGGAATATTATTCAGCCATAAAAAAGAATGAAGCACTGACACATACTACATGAATAAATCTTGAAAACACTGTGCTAAAGACAGAAGCCAGACAGGGAAGGCCACAGAGTGTATCCAGAAAAAGCAAATTCATAGAGACAGAAAGCAAATCAGTAGTGAAAATGCCACTGAATTGCGCATTTTAAAATGGCTGATATGTAATGGTTCCTGTGATCTGTATTTTACCACAATGAAAAAATTGTGTATTGACTGTGGCTCAGTAGGTTAAAGTGCCCGCCTGCCATCCATAGGGTCCCAGGTTCAATTTCCAGTCAGGGCGCTCGCCTGGACTGCGGGTCAGGTACCCAGTAGGGGTCGCAGGAGAGGCAACCACACATTGATGTTTCCCTCCCTCCCTCCCTTCCCCTCTCTCTAAAAATAAATAAAAACGTTTAAAATGGTGTATTGACTTGAAAATGTGCATAAGGAAAAATTTAGGGGTGACATCAATGTCCTATACCTTGTTTGGGGTGATGGTTAATATGGTTGTATATATTTGTCAAAACTTGGCGAATTTTACACTGAATATCAGTGCATTTTACTCTATGTACAATATGTACAATATAATTCAAATGAATTAAAAGGGTTAAAAGTAGTTGCCTCTAGGGAACAGGCGGAAAGGGTAGAGGGTACTGCTTTTTTCATTACATAACCTTTGTATCACTTTTTAAAAACCATATACATTATTTATTTGGAAAAATGTAATTAAAATTTCCCCATTCCAATTCGAACCTCACCAAACACATTTGTTCGCTCGCTGTTTCAGTCCACTGGCTGAGTGAGCCAAGCCGTGGGCGCAAGGAGTAGGATGGGCTCCGTAGCTGTAGTCACGACTGTAAACCCGAACATGCTTCTACCTCGGCTGATCCCAGGGTTTGGTGAGAGTGTGAGCGTCTTCCCGCAGAGACTGGGGGCCCGGTTCCGCCGTCGGGAGGCAGGCAAGTAAGACCTTCGGGAACACAATCTCAGACTCCACAAATGCCAAGGTCCTCGACCTGTTTCAGAGCCAGCCAACCGAGACTTGGGGACGCGACTTGGGGGCGCGGGCGCCTTTTCCAGAGCCCCGCCAGTCCCAAGCCTCGCGGCACAGCCGCTTCCTGTGCTCGGAGCCAATCATCGGTCGCTTTGCCGGGCCGGCAAGGGAGGCGCTGGAAGCTGCCGGCCCGACCATCTTTCTTGAAGGCAAGAGATCTCCATACGACCTCCCCTCCCTGTCTTCCTTCTAAAAACCCACCTGCAGCGGCCATCTTATTTGAGGGCAAGTGGACGATGAAACCAGAGAAGCCAGAGGGGCGCCATGTTTGATATGATCGAGGGACGGCGCCCTTAAGAGCAATCCTTGATAACTGAACCCAGGATGTCGCCATATTTTCTGAAGGCACCTTCCGGGTCCCTCAACCAGGGTGTCTGTGGCCAAGCTGCCAAGAAGTGAATAAACACCGAGGGGGTTGGTTTGTCCCTATGAGAATCCCTGAATCCCTACCAGATAGTCCCTGCTACTTCGGTTCCCTCGGCTGCCTTCGGACGCCAAGGCTGGGAGGGGCCGCGGCCTGGGGAGCCGTTCCTGCGGACTACGAAAGCTGATCCGGGAGCGGGGAGGCCGTGGCCCTGGGTACAAGGCGGCCACAGCTTGGGGCTGGGAGGCCCCATGGCGCCACCCCCAGCCCTGCTCCAGGCGCTGACAGCTGGGGAGACCTGGCCAGGTTGCAAGAAGCCCGGGTCCGTGAGCTTCGCGGACGTGGCCGTGTACTTCTCCCCGGAGGAGTGGGGGTTTCTGCGGCCCGCGCAGAGAGCCCTGTACCGGGACGTGATGCGGGAGACCTACGGCCACCTGGGCGCGCTCGGTGAGGCCTGGGTCAGAGCCCTCCTCCTCCTCCACTGGGGTTCACAGAGATGATATAGAGGGATTCGGAGGAGTGAGGGCCCTAATCCTGAATTATTCCACCAACAGCACCAGCCATCTCCTATTCCCAGGGCTTCAGGTACCCCCTTGGGAGTTCTTCCACCCCGAATCTACTTCCTTCAAACAGGGAGCATTGAGATTGTGTCTACATTGAACATAAATTCTGAGGAAGTGTCCTCATCCTGGTAGGGGGATGCCACCTTCCTAGGGCAGTCTTTCAGACTAGTACTGTGATCCCTATTCTCTCCCAGGATTCCCAGACCCCAAACCAGACCTCATCTCTTGGATGGAACAGGAGAGTGAGGCTTGGAGCCCTGCCGCCCAGGATCCTGAGGAGGGGGAAAGCGTGGGAGGAGCTCTGAGAGGTGAGGGATTGTCCCAAGTCTCCCCCCACCTGGCACTCTGGGGCTTCCCGTCTAGCAATGCTTTTTTTTTTTTTCAGATCCCCACTCCCAGCATCCCTAAAGGAATGAAAGAGCCACCCAATGTTGGATAATAGTGGAAAGGAGGCCAACCTGGTACAGTTTTCAGAACTTGAGACAGTCATCATATTCAGACCAGAGTAGGAAAATTAGGAACTCAAGTCCAACACTCAGGTTTTCAGGTCCCTGTGGTAGAAAACCACTCATTCTCCCTTTTTCAGGAACAACTAAACCCCCCTAAGAGTGGAAATGACTTCACATCTGCCTTTCCCATTCCTCACTCTAAGCAAAATCATACATGAGAAAATGTCCAGTCATCGACAACTTGGCTCTTCTCCCTTCATCATCTGCTCCAGAGTGATCTCCAGCAAATAGGTTTCCTTCTCTGTAAACATTTTACCCTACAGAAAATTGAAAAAACACAATGCTAGCTACTGCTTATTGAGCATTTACTAAATGCTTAACATGCGTCTACTGATTTAATCCCTCCAACAACCCTGTAAAGAAATCATGATGATTCCCATTTGATATGTGAGAGACCAAGGCCCAGATAAGTCACTCTTAAGAGATTTGAACTTGTTTACTGTCCTTCAAAGCCTGTGTGTTAGTCACTGGGCAGTATTTTTCTGGTTCTTCTTAAGTAAAAGTACCCTGTAACCTGAGACATCTAAAGAAGTGTGTTTTAAAATGTATCTTAATTCCTGTTTCCCAGGAGACGCCCCAAACAAGAAGGGAGAGGAACCGGAAGAAGTACCAGGAGCCAAAGCATCCAGAGAGACTCCTGGGAAGGACAGGCCTGAAGAGCTGGTTAAACATAACCCTGACTCAGCCATCGGCCAGACGGTAGCACGACCACAGACACCCACGAAAACTGCCTGGGACCAGAGCACAGTTGCACAGCCCCCGGTCCCAGTGCCCAGTGTTACCTCTCAAGCTAGCCAGCGGCGCCACGTATGTGCAGACTGTGGTCGCCGCTTCACCTACCCCTCGCTGCTCGTCAGCCACCGGCGCATGCACTCCGGTGAGCGGCCCTTCCCCTGCCCAGAGTGTGGCATGCGCTTCAAGAGAAAGTTTGCGGTGGAAGCGCACCAGTGGATCCACCGCTCCTGCTCTGGAGGGCGGCGGGGCCGGAGGCCTGGAATCCGGGCTGTGCCTCGAGCCCCTGTTAGGGGTGACCGGGACCCACCCGTGCTGTTCAGGCACTACCCGGACATCTTTGAGGAGTGCGGGTGAGTGGCTCCCACATTTGGGTTTGAGACTGACCTCAGCGATAAGGACTCGCTGGGCCCTGAGGGAGGCTCCTAAGTCAGAGACTTGGGAAGCTAAGTCATTCCTTGGGCTTCCCTCAAGTTTTCAAACATGTAAAAAGGAAAGTGCCTGTAAAGATTCAAGTAGATTAAACTTGACCCCTCCACCATCCATCTTTCTAAAAAAAAAAAAAAAAAAAAAAAAAAATGAAGAGAGTGAGACGCTGGACTTTTCTCAGTGTTATTTCAGTAACAGGTGCCACTAGCCTCTTTCAGTTGTCTCACAGGCAGCTACCCCCTTGCTGCTTATCTGCATAAGAGGTGAGTGCTGAGGAGGGCTAAGGCCTGGGGAAGGGGCCCAGACGGAGAGCATGGCCAAGCCCTGGCTAACTGATGCCAGCAGGCAGCCCAGGAAGTGGAGTGGGTAGAAAGAGCCCAGAGGCCCCAGCACAGAGCTAGTCTCTGCACAAGGCACAGCTGGTAAGTCACCCGCCTCCCTCAACTTCACTCCTTCATCTGTAAAATGAGGATGACTAATATCTACCTCAAAGGAAAGAGTTACTTTTTTTTGAAAGTGTAAAGACTGAAATTTTAACAAGATAGTATGTATGACATAGCAAACGTGCAATAAACATGTGTTGAAAGAGTGAATTATCTACATTTTACACTTCAGAAGGCTAAGGAGGCAGGATGTGGATATCAATTATCAATAGTCATGTTTTGCAGATAAGTAAGATGGGGTTCAGAAAGAAAAAGTGATTCTTTCAATGTTTCACTCTTTAAAGCAATAAAGCCGGAAACTAACAGAGCCTAGATATTTCTATCACTTTATCTGAGCAGTCAGATCTGGGCAGGACATGATGAAGGTCTCAGGTGAGAGTGAGGTAAGATCTGAGATCTTGGCAGGAAGGTAGTAGGACAGCAAACAACAGCAACTACAAGAAAGATTTTTTGGCCCTTAGTTTCCAGCCAGAGTGGCCTCTCCTTGGGGCTAGAGGTGGCTCCTCAGGATGCAGGGCCCAACCCTGCCTGTTTGGGGGAGTCTCAGCAGGAAAACTGAGAGCCCTGCCAAAGCCAGTGACCTTTCACTAAGAAAAGTACAGCCCAGGCTTGGTTGTTCAGTTGGTTGGAGCATCATCCTGTACACCAAAAGGCTGTGGGTTTGATTCCCCATCAGGGTACATTCCTAGGTTCTGGGTTCGATCACTGGTCAGGGTGTGTACGGGAAGCAACTGATTGATGTTTCTCACATCGTTGTTTCTCTCCCTCTCTTCTTCTCTCTTTAAAATCAATAAACATATCCTTGGGTGAGGATCAAAAAAAAAAAAAAAGAAGGGAAGAAAAGTACAGTCAATATTTAGTGACTTTCTGTTGGAGGGACAGCTAGGTAATAAGGGAATTCTGGGCTGAGAAAGGCTAATTCCATCTGTTATTCAACAAACAACATCTGAGGCCTCTAGGTTTTTGTGCTGGGTTCCAGGGACACCCTGACTCAGAAAGGAGTGATTGGGGCTGTGATGAAAGGTATCCAGAGACACCACCTTACCCACCTGGTTGGTGATATACCAGGAAATGCATCTCGGAGAAGGAGAGGATTGTACCTCCCATAGCATTAGGTAGTAATTGGTGTGTGGGAGATTTTCAAGCAACAGGACCAGCAAGGGAACCTTGCTTCATAAAAAAGGATAAAAAACAGAGACAGTGTGGAGTAGGGGTAAGAACATGGTCTCTGGAGTCAGACTGTCCGAGTTCAGATCCTGACTCACTTGCTTTTTAGCTATGCAGTCTTGAGCAAGTCACTTCTTACCTTAGTTTCTTCATCTATAAAACCTGGATAATAATAGCACCTACCTCATAAAATTGCTGTAAGGATTAAATGAGATAATATAGAAGAGTACTTTGCATGTTAGTATTTAATGAACGGTGGTTATTGTTTTTCTAATCAATATAAAATAGTATGTGAGGAGGACCAAGAGGAGACATAGGCAGGTCTTCTGAAACAAGGTTTCCTGGAGGAGGTGGTTCAAATTGTCCCTGAAGAATGAGAAAGATTTCAACAAGAATAGGCATACATAAGGAATGGTAGTAGTTGTACTTGACTGAAACAAAGAACTAGGTAATGAATAATGGAAGACAGCAGCAGAGAGGCGAGTGCCAAACTGGAAGGGCCACCAATCCCAGCAGAGGAGCTTATTAAAGTTTACCCCATAGGCACTGTAGGGACATAGAAAGTTCTTGAGCGGGAGCAGGGCTGTTTGAGAGGTACTGTCAGAAGGTGCCTTTGTAAACAGTGTTCATTGAGACCTGTGGGAGGAGACTGGACATCTGCTCCCAGACAGAGCTGATCAGGAGCTGGGACCAAGCTAAAGGGCAAGATCTTTTCTTGCAGTTGTTCTTGCTTCCTGACCTTGGAATTGGGAAGAAAGATACCCATAAGAGGCTTCTGCCATAGAATCTGCATGGCTCAGTGACTGACACTATGAACTGTGAACAAGTAAGTCCCAGAGGTTTGAAGCATGGAGAATAAAGAGCTGAGCAAGGGAGCCTGACTGCTGGGCAAGGGGCAGTCAGGAGTGGGAGGGTGTGAAGGCCAAGGAGTGACCAGTACTTGAGAGGCGTAAGTCAAAGAGAAGGCGAAGCTGGAGAGAGGAGGGGGCACCATGAGGGGGAAGCATAACAAAATGTACCAATTTAAATATTTTTAAGTGTATGGTTTAGTGGGATTAAGTACCTTCACACTGTTGTGCAACCATTACCACCATCCTTCTCCAGAATTTTTTCATCTTCCCCATCTGAAACTTTGTACCCTTTAAACAATAGTGCTCTAAGCCCCGTCCCTGACCACCACCGTTTTACTTCTGTCTCTATGTATTTGACTACTTCAGGCACCTCATAAAAACCATTGCGGGGGGGGGGGGCGGTGTAAGCAGAGTATCAAGGTAGTCTGATTTGCTATTTATTTATTTATTTATTTATTTGAAAAGCCCGCTCTGACTGCTGAGAATGGACTGCAGAGTGGAGATAGGGAGTAGTACCACTGGAGGTAAACACTGCAAGATGAATGGACTGAGCCTGTCTATGGGTTGGATGTGGTGGCTGAGAGCATCAGAGGAGCCCAGGACGGTAATAAGGTTTTTGGCTGAGTGAGGAAAATGGAGGAGCCAGTTTCTAGGGTAGCCCTGGAGGTGATAATAGGGTGGACCACAGCATTTTAGAGCTGGAAGGGAGCTCTTGGAGCTGTTTAGTTCTATGTTTTAAGAAGGGTTTGGGAAGGAGTGGGTGGAATAGGTTTTGTTTGTTGATGAGACTCTTTAAGGGGCATAGGGAAGAATGCTTGTTCTTTCCACCAAGCTTTTCATGGGAACATTGGTCCACAGAATAGGCTCTGAGAAAGGCTGAGGCCCAGAGAAGGGAAGGTACTTACTTAAGATAACAGCTGAGTTAGTGGCAGAGGTAAGCATGGAACCCAAACCTCCCAATTTCTCAGTTCATACTCTTGCTCTTTTCACTAGACCAGGCTGCAGTGCTGAATGGATGGGAAAGGCGAAAGGCTGGAAGCCCAGAGACCAGCTGGGAGACCCCAGGCCTAAACCAACAAGGGCCTGAGCAAGAGGAACCCACTGGTGAGAGCTGCTACAGGGTACCTTTGGTGTAGCCTGTCACCCTTGCTCCAGGGCAATTGCAAATACCTCCCAAATACAGAATGACATTTTTCCCCATGACATGATCCCTAAACATACCCCTCGTATTTTCTTTTCATTATTTATCGTATAGCCCATCATTTAAACTTTTTCTTTTTACATTTATATAATAGTATGGGACTGTATGTGTGACCAGAAGCAGTTCTTCTGACCTCCTGGGTCCCTGCTTCTAGCACTACCCCACATTACAACTTCGTCTTAGTAACTTGGCCTAAAATCCCACCTCTTTGCTTGCTGAGATTGTGCCTTCCATAATTTGAGGCAATACACATGCAGTTGCCTGGAGTCAGGCTGCTTGGGTTTGAATCTTGTTTTCATCACTTCCTAGCTGTGTGGCCTGGGGCAAGATCATCCCTTTATTCCTCGGCCTCCTTATCCAGAAAGGTACCTATCTCTGAAGTGTTGTGAAGGTTAACTGAGTTAACAAGCAAAACTTTAGTCTGGCTTACAGTAAGTGATATATCAAGGTAAACGAAGATTATTTGTCTTAGTCATATCACAAAACCAACTGCAGCTCTTGCATAGTCTGCCATTATTCTGTTTGGGAGAGCTTGGAATTGGGAAATCATTTCAAGGGGACACACTTAAAGGGAGCATCAAAACAACGAGCCCTGTCATCCATTAACTCATTTAATTTTTTTCAAAAGATTTTATTTATTTATTTTTAGAGAGAGGGGAACAGAGGAAGAAAGAGAGGGAGGGAAACATCAATTGGTTGCCTGTCTGAGGAACCCCAGCCAGGGACGCAACCCAGGCATGTGCCTTGAACAGGAATCCAACCAGCCACCTTTCATTTTGCCAGATGATGGCCCTGCCAACTGAGCCACACTGGTCAGGGTTCATCTAATTTTTAATGCAATCATTTGATAAATTAAGAATCCAGTTCATTTCCACAAGGTCAGCAGGGGTCAGTAAATTCAAAATAATCATGTTGTTTTTCCGAAACAGGCCTGGAGGAGGCTGCGTGAGGTGGTGGAAAAGGCCCCAGTTTAAGAGTCTGTAGACCCAAGTCACTAATGGGCTGCCTGACCTTGGGTAACAACTTCATTTTCTCTTCTGTGAAATAACTGAACTCTAAGCAGAGAGGCATTCAGCCTAATGTCCTCAATTAAAGATATAGTAAACGTTGGAAATACCAGATGTAGATAACAGATAGATAGACACATGCATACATACATATATACCTAAACAGACAGTTTCTGGAGGGATACTTAGGAAACCGTTAAGAGAGGAACAGGGCAGGAGGAGACTTAATAGAATATTATTCTGTACCTTGTAAATGAAAAATAAATTTAGAAATGAACTGCTTTGCTAAAAAAATTTTTTATTAAGGCAGGTCACTGAGTGGTCCTTCTAGGGGAGATTAGTTAGTGGACGTATGGCTAGCGGCTCCCTGAAAGCTAGCCCTGCTTCTCCCTGGGCTAGACCCCTTGCCACCGGAGGTGTTCACGCCCCCAGCCACACTCTTCAGCTGCCCGAAGTCGGATGCCGAAGTGGTTGTGGCCATCTTAACTAAGGGCAAGGGCGATTCTAAAGCCGGTTGCGGAACAGCAAAAGAAATTCGAGGTTAATAAACCTGGTCAATACCAGACGACACTGAAGCTGTTAAATGCCTTCCCGTAAAAAATGAAAGACACTGGAGTACCGCCATCTTTTCTCAGGGCGCTGTCATTTTTTTGGTCCTGGCACCACCGAGTTCGCTTAACTAGTCATCAGTGTCCTAGAGCGGCCCCAGCCGGAGCTAGTTCCCTTTCTTGGGTCCAGAGGAACCTGATTCCTGGAGGCCGCATCCCTAGCGGCGTCCCTCCTTCGATTGGGGCAGGGTATGGTTTTCTGCCGGTGCCTGCTCCCGGCTTCCCGCAGAGGTGCCCTCAAAAGCCCGGCTGGAAGCAAGAGGATTTGTGGGTGGAAAGGCAGGCACCATGAGCTTCGTGGAGGTGGTCGTGTATTTCTTCCCCAAGGAGCGGGGTTGTCTGGGACATGATGTGGAAAACCCGCGGGTATCTGGAGCGCTCCGTGAGGGCTGGCTGTCCCTGATCTTTGAAAAGGGAAGGGAGTGGGTGGGATGGACAGGGCCGAGTGCCTGACTTGTCCCCACTCTTGCCCCTGGTGACTCCGTTTCCTGCGATTCCCGCCAGATCACCCTAACTGCGATTCACAACTGAGCCTCCCCCGTCAGATTCCTCCAATGGCTCTCCGGGACTTCTTGCCAAAACGTTAAGCACCCGTGCCACAACGCTAAGGCCCATGGCACGCTAACCTACAATTCAAACCAGATCTTTCCATACAGGCAAACAATCCCATTTGGCCCCAGCTGAATGGAGTCTGGTTTTTCGATTTGCCTCTCTAGCTCAATGACCCTATCTATGCTCTTCCTATTCTGCTCTGTATACACTATATCTCCAAATCTGACCTTCAATGACTTTCTTAAATGCTGTCTCCAAGAAATTCCTCTGGAGCTCTTCTGCCCTGTGCTGAAAATATCTACAAAACTGGGGCTCTGTGTCTATATAGACTTGAGCACAGTCTGCCCAAAGGTCTCCATGCCTGTGCCAGCAGAGCTTATACCTGGTATCTCTCTCTCTCTCTCTCTCAGTGTAAATTTAGAGTTTAGAGTAAACTTAGAGCAGGAACCTTAGCTTGGTTCACCAATGTCTCCAACATTTAGAAAGATGGAAAGGTGAGAAGTGGGGGCAATGTCCCAGTTCTAGCTGGAAGGGAAAATGTTTTGTTGGGCAAGAAGCATCATCTACATGTTCCTCACTAATTTTTCTTGAACTGAATTTATGACACCCACTGGAGACTGAAATCTTAACCTTCTCATTCTCAGTTGACTTTGAGCCATCCAGTGGTCCCATGATCAAGGCATGCTGTATGAATCATCCAAACTCTAGGTCAGTGGCAGCGTGTGAATTCAAGTTCAGGATGCAGGCACTTCACCTTTCTGTCTCCAGGTCCTTCAGCCCTGTAGCACGTGCTCCTCTGGTTGAGGGTATCTCCTCTGGCTGATGCTGAGGTAGGTGGGAGTGGCCCTGACTCATGAGCCCTTCAATTAGCCAACAGTTTAGGGGGGACTTTCAGGGGCTGGGTACCCATCTCAAGTCTTCTGCCATTGCAAAGGTTGATTCTGTCACCCAAACATGAGTAGATCTCAGAGAATTAACAAGGCAAATTTTGAATCTGCTGTTTTCACAACAGCCATTCAGAAAAACAAAACATTTGGAAAGCGCCAGGAGAAGGATTCTGTTTGGGAATCAATCGTCATGAGCCCCTGGGATCAGAAACACAGACCTATTCCGTGAGTCTGTGGCCAAGGCTCCCCATAGCCAGACCCTTCCCATTGCCCTGCCTGCCCCATCTCCATCCAATCTTAACACCTGGCACTCATATAGCACCCGAGTAATACAGCATCCCTGCCCCAAGTGCAGTAACACTTTGCCATCACTTTTAACCTGGTCCAGTGCACTCTGGAGAAAGACCCTTTGCCGCAAGTGTAGCACCTGCCTCTACCTCAGCTAGTACCTGTCATGCTACCTGCTGACTCACCCAGGCAAGTGGCCCTACTTCTATCCCTGCTGTGGGAGATGCTTCAGCCAGAGGCCCACCAGCCTGGTGCCATAGGCCAACTGCCCTAGTTTATTTCCCAGGAAGGTCCAGACCCTGAGTTTCCAGGGCTACCCAGAGCTGTTCTAGGCCTGTGTGTCATAGGCACCACAGTGAGGGGTGGGCACTGACATGTGACAAAATGCTTTTGCTCTTAATGGAAGTTTTCTGTTTTCTCTTGGGTCCTTCAGGGACCTGAGGGGCTGACAGAGCTAGGGCTGAGGTTGAGTCCCTGGATAACTGTGTCCTTAACCCTTTCCAGACTTTTTGTCTTCTCCTTTCCCCTATCTACTGTGATCAACTCTTTACTTTCAAGCCCCCTTGGCTGTAGGGAGAAGCATCCACCAGATACAAAGTTTCAGGCAGAAGGATCAGGAAGGCCTTTGGAAGTGTTGGTAGCAAAATGGCACCAGGTGTTAGACCTCAGTTCTTCAAACTCCATACTTAAATTTTGGCTAAGAAATAATTCAGAGCCAAGACACAAACTACAAGAGAAAGTTTATTTACAAAGTCACAGAGGTAGAAGAAGTGAACTATAGAAGAAATGGGCTCAGGAAACGAGTTACCTGAGGCTTCAAGGGCCAAAAGAAGGGCCCTTGAAGCTTGAGGTGGGGGGGAAAGGGGGAGAAGGAGAGGAATATGGATGTACCTGGGAGATGGAAAAGAGGGAGAAAAAGGAAAGGCACGGGCACGCTCTGGAAAAAGAGAGCACACACAAGGTCCCTTTCTTAAGGTCTCAGGGAAGATCTCAAGACTATTCATCAGCTTTCCAGATGTTTCCCCTCGTGTTCGTGGTCTCTGCTCAGTGGTCAGCACCAGGCTGGGGTTATTAGTCAATGCAGCTCTCCCTGATGTCACTTATGGCAGTCACTCAGTCTGATTTTGCTGCTTTTCTGGGTCTGGGGCTGTAACCCAGCTGAGGCCTAGCTGTCATCTCCAGGGGTTAATGCTTAAGAGAGTGGTCCTGCAAGGGCTTGTAGTTTTGCCTGTTGCTAGGCACCTGCGGCTCTCGCCCTGGTGACCCTCTGCACCTGGTCTATGGTTCCTCCTCTGTTCATGCCTAACTACCTACTACTGAAGGAGGCAAAGAGAAAAAAGTTCAGGACCAGAGCCTGAACCTGAAGGTGTCAAGTGTATTTCCATGAAATGTGTGAAATGCTGAGATTGATTTATCTGGCCAAAGGAAAAGTTTCAATCTCCTTAGGGCAGGATGTTAGGAAGTCAATAAATATGCCCAGTGAGAGAGGGAGGTTTGGGATTATATATGACAGGGATTGCTGGTGCCATTTGCTGAGATAAAGAGTCAGGAGGGGCAGGTTGTGGGAAGAAAGGGATAAATTCAGCTTGAGCCATGCCAAGTCTGAGGTGCTTGTGGGACATCCATGAAGAGGCAAAGTGGCAGGCTGTTCTCTGATCAAGAGGAGCTCAGGAGCCAGGCCTGAGCTAGAGGCAAATAGATGCTGGAGAGGCGACCTGCAGGGCATGTCGAGGGAGGGTAGGCTTTCTTAAAGAGGGTCCTTCTGACCTTTCTCAGATCTTACTGTTATTCTCCCCCAGCTACCCCCACCATCTGAAATAGAAGCTCCCAGAATTTCCAGCTCGAACAAGCTTCCAACAGAAAATGCTTTTTTTTACTACTTTTTTTTACCCTCGACATTTGGGAAAAGGCTGCTGTCACCCAGTGATAGGCTGAGACCCAATTACAAAGGCCTAGCCACGAAAAATAACTACCGAAGGTGGAGCAGTGTCAGCGCTGAAACTGCTGCGGCCCTATGCCAACTTCCCGCCGTGTTAGGTTGGTCCTCCACACTCGGGCGGGGCCGCTGCCGCGCCAATGAGCGCTGCAGGGCGGGGCGGGGACCGGGTGCGGGAACCTGGTGGCCTGGCTTGCCCCCTAGCGTGGCAGGGCGCCTTCTCCTGCCCTGGTAGCTGTCACAGCCATTTTGGTTGCGGGCTGGCGACCAAGCAGTCTGGAGACCCTGGGGTGGCGTCCTCTGGGCAAAACTGCGTAGGCGCCAGGTTCGTGAGGCCGCGTTGCCGCCATTTCTTAGGAAGACGTCCTCCAGTCCCGGTTCTCTGTGTACCTTCAGCCAGCAACTTTTAGCTTTTAGCCACCCGCGTGGTCCCTGGAGAAGCGTCTTCCTGCTTCCCCTGGCCTTATTGACCGCGCCCCGACCTCTCGGGCTGGCCGGCCGGCCGGCCGGCCCGGCAGGCGTTCCGAAGCACGTGAAGCCCGGCGGACCCAGGGGCGGCGCTGGCCTATCGCCGAGACTGGCACGCACCATGGCGCCGCCTCTGGCCCCGTTCTCTGCGCGTGAACGTGAGGAGGCCACTCGCGAGGGGAGGAGCCCCGTGAGCTTCGCGGACGTGGCCGTGTACTTCTCCCCGGAGGAATGGGGCTGTCTGCGCCCTGCGCAGAGGGCCCTGTACCGGGACGTGATGCGGGAGACTTACGGCCACCTGGGCGCGCTCGGTGAGAGGCCCACTGTTCACTTGTGTCCGCATCCCCCGTCCACCCTACCCAGCCTCCGGGCACTGCACGGGGAGTGTAACATCTTAAATCCCGGAAGTCAGGACCGCGGGGTGGGCTCTGACCTCCGGGCAGCGTGGGGTTTGCGTTCTTCTCCCCCAGGATTCCAAGGCACCAAGCCGGCGCTCATCTCCTGGATGGAGGAAGAGGCTGAACTGTGGGGTCCAGATGTCCGAGATCCGGAGTTGGGAGAGTGTCTGACAGAAGACACAGGTGAAGTACTGGGTACTCTATCTCATGAGGACTCCCTCTGGGCCTGACCAGTCCTGCCAACTAAGGTGATGATGCCTGGTCGCTCCCTAGCTTCTGGATTCAGCCTAGAAAGGGGCTGTGAGTATGAGCAGGCTCTGCCGGGGTGCAGGTCCCTGGCATACCTGCCTTCACTCCCAATTCCTGAAAATCTGAGCCCCTCACATGTAATTGGTCTCTAAGCCCTGTTTTGCTCCACATCATTCCTCCTGTTTGCTTGCATCTAGCTCCTCTGCCACATCCTGTGTTTTAGTTTACTTTCTCTTTATTCTTGTAGCAGCTTCCTTTCTCTTGGCTTCTGTTTTCTTCTAGCAGTTCATCCTGCAATTTGTTGTACAATACCCAGCCCCTCTGAACTTGGTTCAGCCAGGTGCATGTTTCTCTTTGTGCTATTCCTGATGCCTGAAGCATCCTTAAGCATCTACTGATGCAGCTAAAATGTCTTCTGCCTGCTCCCCCTCCCCAGCCATTTCCCCAGGCCTGAGGTAGAATGTACTGTTTTTTCCTACTCTCTCTGTCTCTGCTGCCTTTCTTTTTGTCCTCTGCAGCTGGGGAAAGGTTTCACTCCAAGCTTCCTTGCCTATACTGAGCTAAGTCCCAGAGGCACCTGTATGTCCAGAGGGTGGCTGTATATAAGAGACTTCTCTGTCACCATACAGGGTGTGGGATTCAAGGACCAGGTTAAATAAGCCAGGGTCTGAGCTCTCCCCTTGTTTCCCAGCAGGTTCCAGAAACAAGGAAGAGAAAGGACAAAGAGAAGGTACTGGGGCACTGGAGAAGATCCTGTCTGTGGACACTTGGCCTCTTGGGCTGAAGGCTCTCAAACCCCCTTCTGCTGGGCTCTCTTACAGTTTGGAGCAGTCATCCAAGGTGCCTCACCGTGGTCGCCCCCCACTCTTTGCCCATCCCCCTGTCCCAAGGGCAGACCAGCGTCATGGTTGCTACCTATGTGGGAAGAGTTTTGCCTGGCGCTCCACTTTGGTGGAGCACCTGTATACCCACACAGGTGAGAAGCCCTTCTCTTGTCCTGACTGTGGCAAGGGCTTTGGCCAGGCCTCCTCTCTGAGCAAGCACCGGGCCATTCACCGTGGGGAGCGGCCCCACCGCTGCCCTGACTGTGGCCGAGCCTTCACCCAGCGCTCTGCCCTTACCACCCACCTACGGATCCACACGGGTGAGAAGCCCTACCGCTGTGCTGACTGTGGCCACTGCTTCAGCCAGAGCTCTGCCCTCTACCAGCATCAGCGGGTCCACAGCGGCGAGACCCCCTTCCCTTGTCCAGATTGCGGCCGCGCGTTTGCCCATGCCTCAGACCTTCGGCGCCACGTGCGCACCCATACAGGCGAGAAGCCCTACCCGTGCCCAGACTGTGGGCGCTGCTTCCGACAGAGCTCCGAAATGGCAGCCCACCGGCGTACCCACAGTGGAGAACGCCCCTACCCCTGTCCCCAGTGTGGCAGGTGCTTTGGCCAGAAGTCAGCCATGGCCAAACACCAATGGGTCCATAGGCCTGGTGCCGGGGGACACAGGGGCCAGGGTGCCAGTGGGTTGCCTGTGCCCTTAACCCCTGGCCGAGGGAATCTAGACCCACCTGTGGGCTTCCAGCACTACCCAGAGATATTCCAGGAATGTGGGTGATGGCCTCACAGGTGCAAAGAGAAAGGGTGAAGAATTAAACATTTCCTGAGGCCCAAGCTGGGATCTGCACTGAACCTCTGGGGGCTCCAGAGAAGTCATAGAATTCCTTGAAAGAGCTGGACCTGGAGGATGAGGACCATCTTATTTTAGGCTCTCACCAGCTTGATATGCTGACACCTCATTCTCTGCTGTCGTAGGCTCTAGAAGTCCCCTTTGCTGAGTTACGGCTGAGGTTCGAACCCTCAGTAGTCCTCCACTGTGGGAAGAAAAGGTTGTTCCTCAGCTTAGATGTGTTAAGAGGATTGAGGTAGAGAACCTTAGTTTACCCATTGCCTTTTTTACTGCAGGAGTTAATAACTGATGGCCACATACTAAATCTGGCCTATAGCTGTCTTTTATTTTTTGGGTCAAGTCAGATTTTAAAAAGTTACAAATTATTGGTTGATTTCACACAAAAAGCCAGGTTTCTGACTTTTGAGAAATTCAAAAGATTTGGCAACGCTACTTAAGCTCCCACAAAACCACAGTTGGCAGGAGCTGGGGGCAGTTGTCACCGCATGCGCACCACTCAGCATGTTCACCGCTCTCCACATCAGCTCCTGACCAGCATCATTTGGCACGCATGGTTTGACCATGTCTCGGGCAAAGCAGGCCTTCTCCATCCAATATTTTCCACTCATTTGCAGGACCTGTTGGGTTCCTGTGGTCACTGGAGTTTGCAAACCATGGTCTATAGCATGTGAGTTGTCCTGACTTGGGGATTCAGGCAGAGAACATAGATGTGAAAGGGTAGCAGGAGAAAAGTAAAAGTAGGCTTTATTTTAGAGCTTGCTTGCATTGTATTTTGTTTACAAAGTACTATCTTGTCAGTGAACTCATTTCACCTTCATAACTGCCTGAGGAGGGGAGCATCTTGCTTGGATAGGACAGCTCAGTCAGGAAGAGGCAGTCAGGACTGAATCTTTTGTCCCAAACCAGTGGCATTTCTGCCAAACGACAGCACTGCTCTCAGCCGACCAGCAGTTCCTGGTTTTACAGGGGAAGGCCCTGAGAGCACCCTCCAGTCCTCCATGGACCTCCCTGGGAGAGCCTGATGGTTCAGGCCTTATCTACCCTAGACCCAGCCAGGAGGGCCAACCTCATCACGTTCTAGAACTGGAAGAGATCTGAGCTTTTGCAGCTGGGGACACTGAAACTGGAGAAGGCTAAGCAACCTGTCCAAGGTCCACACATGGTAAGGTTCTTGGCTTACTGCTCTCTTTACTACACCATTCCTGAATTTCTTGCCAGTATCTCAGCCAGGGTTCTGGAGGCATCTGCCCATTCCCTGTGAGGGTACTCAGGCACTGACCAGAACTGAGGAAAAGACCAGCCCAGTGTCAGTTAAACCCAGCTGTAAGACAAGTGACAAAAAGGCCACATAGCAGACCAAGGCAAGGGAGAAACCTACCTGAGAGTTCAGGGCAAATGAGCAAAGTTTGATCTTCACTCTCTTCAGGTACCCACCATCATGAACTGAGAGGAACTAGGACAGGAACATTGGGGTTTGTAGCCAGAGGGAACTGTACTCATCTATATTCCCAAGCTCTGTATGCATTCTCTCCTCTCTTATCTCATGGCTACATTATCCATCTATTATTAACTCCTTTGTAGTTAGAGCCCAACCTTGTCCAGGTCATGGAAGCAGCCAGCCGTGGGTCGACCCTGCCTTTGGTCAGGACGACCCTTCACTTGAGGAGTAACGGGTTATGTCCTCTGTTGGCCTGTGTGCACTTGCCTTCTTTACTGAACTCAGCCTCTTGTTTGGCCTACCTTAGGGAGGAAGAAACCAGATTTGTCAACCTGGAGAAACTTCTAAAGAAAAAGGTAGAAGATTCGGGGAAAAGACACTGTTCAGGTGAAGTAATGAACTGAGTTGATTCCCCATCCTAAACTTTTCTGGGAGGATTGGCTTGTGTGCCACCTTATTGTAAGTGGGACATGGTGTGAGAAGAGGCATGTTGGTAGTAGGATCTACCTATGTAACAGCTTTTAATTCCCTAGAGAAGCCAGTGTACAACCCCTCCCATCCTCTAACCCTCAGGACTGCCTGGGGAAAGCCCAGCATGAAACATTAGTTCTCAGCTCAGACTCAAAACCAGATCTGGACCCTACCCTCAGCTTGTCAATTAAAGGTACTATAATTACTACTTTTTCTGAGTGCTTTGACATTTGCAAGGCTTGCTTAGGGCCCAAACACCAGATTTAACTTCTGTTTTCTGCCTTTGTGACCCACCTTACCACCATTAAATCAATTTTTGAGTGTCATGAAAATGTTTAAGCCTCAGTCTCCCTCCATCCTTAGCTCCTCATTTCTTGGCATGGATACCTCTACCAAAGGTAGGGCTCTCTCTGCTACTGCAGTCTTTGAGGCTCAGAACCTGAAGCAGCTTAGGCCAGGAAGAGAATTATTCTAGGACTTCACTGGAGAAATGCTTGTCTGTACCACATATGAGCCCATCCATATGGCCAGGGTGAGAGGTCAGGCCATGACCATATGACCCTTGCTTGTCCAAGCCATCTAAAATAAGGGTAAGTATTGATTTGAGTCTCAAAACTCCCTAAAATTTTTAGGAATGTTTACATCCATCTTTCTAGGAACGGGATTTGTAAAGATATCTGTGGTCCAAAGAAGCTAGAACCTGTCCTAAGCCCGTATTTTTCAGAGTAAGGCCTTCCTGCCAAAGAATCACGTACTCTTTCTTTAAAACACAGCTAGGTCCCTGGACCCTGTCTCTAGCTATTGAATCTGAATCTCCAGGGGTGGAATTTTAATGCCTGCTAAACTTTGAGAACCACTGCTTTGAACAAAATGTTACTTTCTAGCTGCTCTTAGCTTTGTAAGAATAAGGGTTGGTCTCAGGGCCTGTTCCAAATGTCTGGCCAGGGGACCACAAAGACTCCCATTTCCTTTGCTCTTGACAAAGGGGCCTGTGCTGTGTCTGGTATTTTCCTGTGTATTTCAAATTTTGAATATACTGTGGCATCTCTTGTAGAATGACAGAAGGCCTCTTAGCTTGTCCTTTGCATGCAGAGAGGAAGTAGTTCAGTCAGGAGCTCCTCTCACATTGAGACCCTTGTAAGGGCTTGTTCAAGTGTGACCAACCGTAAGCCTTGGATGCACTCTATAAATAGCTCTGTCCCAGTAGTGCTGCACACTAGAGGATGATGCTATGGGGGAGGTGGCTGCTCAGCTTGGGATACACACAAGGCTCCTCACCAGCACGCAGTGGTAGAACAAGGTCAGTGGATGCCTACCTTGCATTAGTGCTAGGTCAAGTTGGAACCCTCATCATTGGCTTCTCTGTGCTTAGAGACTCATTGCTATGGGCTGGAGGGAGACAAAGGCTGGTTGCCTCTTGAAGGTTCATTTCATAGACAGGTCTGGTATTAGAGGAGGCTGCCTGTGAGTCAGCCAGCCACTCTTATTCTAGGCACTAGTGAGACTGAATTCCCACATGGAAATGATGGTGCCAGAGCAGGTTGAAGCCCTGGCCCAACTCCTGCTACATGTGGGCTTGTAGACCATGCTATGCAGAGTGCAGGCAGTGGACCATATCAGACCTGTGGCTGGAAACTTTGCTACTCACTTTGTAGGGACAGCTAGCTGTTCTGGGTAAATTTTCTGGTGGGTAAGCAGGTCAGAAAGTCATGTCTCATAAAGGAGACTTGTCTCTTACTTGTGTGAGTGCTTTCAGGGTGACCAAGGAGTACCCAGAAAGTCCAGCTCTTCGCAATCAGTGCACTTGTGGGGTGTCCATTCTTAGCAGAGGTTTTAGTACAGGTATTGGGATGGAGAGAGGCATGGAGCTGGAAGCTGTTGCTGTGGAGGGCAGAAAAAGGCTCCTGCTTTATTTGTAGGAAGATATCTGTGACTCTAATTGTAAACCTCGATTGACATCATTTTTTCCAGCCTTTTAACACTTAGAATTCTCCAAATTCTCATCTCTTTTAAAGAGAATGGAAGATGCCATCCTTCCTCTTAACCAGTTTCTTCCCTTCATTTTTCTGGGAAGGCAACAAGAAAACACAAACCATGGTTCTGCATTGCCCATGCAGGAGAAATTTGGCTTTTTAGCTATCAAGAAAGCTACCGAACTAGTTTTCAGCAGCAAGGGACAAGAACTGGATCCTGTTGTCTTTTCAGGGTCCTTCTTTTCCCTTCATTCAATGCTGCATCTAGGGCAGTGTTTCTCAAGTTTCCTTTCTTTATAAGTCTCTATCCAAGGTCGACAGGACTGGAGAGTTCTCAGCTGTCTTGAGACCAGATGGTTCTCTCTCCAGTTCCACTCCTGAACTCTATCACTCCACCCTTACCTGGAAGAAATTCCCACAGGCTCATTGCTTCCCTGCGAGAAAATTCGGGAACCATAAGCTAAGGCTCCCAAGTATTGAGTTAACCACAAGCTTTGGGGAAGATAGAGGTAAGAGTTAGGGTAATTGAAAAGACAAGAGCCTCCTTTCTGAGGGAGGATCTCCTGACAGGCTTTTTCAGTAAAGTGCTGAGAAAGGGAATGGGGAGAGTGTCTGCAATCAGATCCCTAGGCTTTTATTCCTTGAAAGAGAAAACAAAATGAAGGGTAAATACGGGTGGGAAAACTTCTGAAAGCACAGGCCGAGTTCGAGGGAAGACGCCAGGGAGGTCCATCCAACTCCTCCGGCAGGAGGTTTTGGCGGACATGCTCGGAGGTGGAACCGGCCTGAGCACCTTCCAACTAATCAAAAAGGTGCCTCGCGTTTCCTGGCAACCAATAACACAGAGCTGTTGGTGTAGTAGGAGAATGCAGGAGGGTAGGAGCACGAGCTTCACTGACCAATGGCTGAGCACTCTGAGAGGCAGGGGCGGTGCCTCTGGAAACCGGAGGCGGAGCTGTTTCCTTGGCAACCATCCTAGCTCAGCCAGAGGTGGGGAGGGTGGAAATTAAGAGCAGAGAAAGGAGCGAGCCGGGAGGAGTGGGGGTGGACACGCCGGTTGGGGGGTAGTGGAATTCGAGCAGGAAGTGGGGGAGGGGTGTCTCAGAATCTCGTAGAGCTCTAGGGGGTGCAAGGGTCCGTTCGGGTTCCCCATGCGTGGCCAGAGTTGACCCCGAGGCCCGGGAGCCGAGGGGAGCTAGGCACCGCCCCCGCTGGCGTCTGGAAGCCTCTCTTCTCGGTGACCTTGGTCTCGCTTGTCGGCTCATTCTTGGCCACAGTTACTGACGGACGCAGAGCCCGGTAGAAGGATAGATAGGCCATTGGACAGACGGAGACCTAGGGCATAGGCACAAACTGCCCCAGCCTCTCACGCCGGCTCCAGGGTACCGCAGCCTCCCCCACCTCAACGCCGGGGCCATCCAGCCCAGGGTTAATGCCAACGAGTTTCCACCTCCAGCCACTCCTAGAGAGGCCGCGGTGCTAGCCAACGGGGGAAACTGGCCGCGGACGGACACTTCCTGTGTTGGGGGAGGGGGTCGACTGCTGCAGCCCAGCTTGGGGCCGGGGGCCTGACGGCGGGGTCTCAGGTGGGGAGCCGTGTCTGGGGGTGACAGGGCGAGTCGTGAAGCCGCCTCATCTCCGAGGCCACAACGTGTGGGGGTCTGTGAAGGCCCCAGGGCAAGCCGAGACCTTGTGGGTGGGGGCGGGGACGGAGGGAGGGGAGGGGCCCGGCCGCCTGGAGAGGCCCAGGGTCAAGACGTCCGGCCTTGGGGGCCGGGGCTGGGCAGCCGGGTCGCCTGGGCGGCGCTGAGCGGGCAGGCGGCGAGAGCTCGGGTCTTAGGGCACTCAGGACGGGTCGCAGTATCGTCCGCCATTGCCACCGCCGCCGCCGCCGCACTGGGAGTCAGCAGGGATGGAACAGGAGGCGTCGCAGTGGGGCCTCGAGCCGCGGGATGTGCAAACTCTTGACGAAATGGGGCCCGAAGGGTCCCTCAAAGGTGAGGGAGGGAGTGCCCCTCCGAGGAGCGTGCCTGGGGTCGGGAGAGGGGGCTGTGGTCCGTGAGAGCGAAAGAGAGTGGGGGACTTGGACACCTGGGACTTGGAGGGGTGGGGGTGGGAACCGGGTGTCTTGGGTTTGCTGAGGGGAAGGTGGGAATTTCAGCACCTGCCCAAGGGCCAGCGACCATATTTGAGGAGGAGGGAGAGGTTTGTGACAACTAATGGTGGGACCCAGTGACCTTCCAGGCTCCACACAATCTGGGTTTTCTGTAATTCTCTGATCCTACAGGCAACATGCATGAAAATAATGAGGAAGAGGAAATTTCTCAGCAAGAAGGCACTGGGGACTATGAGGTCGAAGAGATACCTTTTGGGCTTGAACCCCAGAGCCCGGGGTTTGAGTCACAAAGCCCAGAGTTTGAGCCTGAAAGCCCCGGTTTTGAATCCCAAAGCCCTGGGTTAGTGCCCCCAAGCCCTGAATTTGCACCCAGAAGCCCTGAGTCAGATTGTCAGAGCCCTGAGTTTGAACCACAAAGCCCTAGGTATGAGCCCCAAAGTCCTGGGTATGAATCCCAGAGCCCAGGGTATGGACCCCAAAACCCTGAGTTCAAAACCCAAAGCTCTGAATTTGAAGCTCAGAGATCCAAATTCCAGGAAGGTACAGAGATGCTTCTCGATCCTGAGGAAAAGAATTCCTTGAGCATCCCCTTAGGAGTCCATCCCTTGGACTCCTTCACCCAGGGGTTTGGGGAGCAGCCCACAGGGGATCTTCCCCTAGGCCCACCTTTTGAAATGCCCACAGGGGCCCTGTTGGCTACACCCCAGTTTGAGATGCTCCAGAATCCCCTGGGCCTGACCGGAACCCTGCGAGGTCCAGGCAGACGCGGTGGCCGGGCTAGGGGTGGGCAGGGCCCTCGACCTAATATCTGTGGCATCTGTGGGAAGAGCTTCGGCCGGGGCTCCACTCTGATCCAGCACCAGCGCATCCATACGGGTGAAAAGCCCTATAAATGTGAGGTCTGTAGCAAGGCCTTCTCCCAGAGCTCTGACCTCATAAAACACCAGCGAACCCACACGGGGGAGCGGCCCTACAAGTGTCCCCGTTGTGGCAAGGCCTTCGCTGACAGCTCTTACCTGCTTCGCCACCAGCGCACTCACTCTGGTCAGAAGCCCTACAAGTGCCCGCACTGTGGCAAGGCCTTCGGAGACAGCTCCTACCTCCTGCGGCACCAGCGCACTCACAGCCATGAGCGGCCCTACAGCTGCCCCGAGTGCGGCAAATGCTACAGCCAGAACTCATCCCTGCGTAGTCACCAGAGAGTGCACACCGGGCAGAGGCCCTTCAGCTGTGGCATCTGTGGCAAGAGCTTCTCCCAGCGCTCGGCACTAATACCCCATGCCCGCAGCCATGCCCGTGAGAAGCCTTTCAAGTGCCCTGAGTGCGGCAAGCGCTTTGGTCAGAGCTCTGTGCTGGCCATCCACGCGCGCACCCACCTGCCAGGCCGCACCTACAGCTGCCCAGATTGTGGCAAGACCTTCAATCGCTCCTCTACTCTGATTCAGCACCAGCGTTCCCACACAGGCGAGAGGCCCTACAGATGCGCTGTGTGTGGCAAGGGCTTCTGCCGGTCTTCTACGCTGCTGCAGCATCACCGAGTCCACAGCGGGGAGCGGCCCTACAAGTGTGATGACTGTGGAAAGGCCTTCTCACAGAGCTCCGACCTCATCCGCCACCAGCGGACCCACGCTGCCGGCCGACGCTGACCTGGGGGCTCGTCAGGGGCGGGCCTGTGGTGGTTGGAAGAAATGGGGACAGGGAGCTAGAAAAATCTCTAGAATAGTGGAAAAGCTGGAGGAGAAAAGGAGTTGAGGATTCTAGGAGGAGAGGGGCTAGCGTCGAGGAAGTTACATGCCCTGGAGACTTACGGGAAATGGGTAATGAAAAGGGGTTGGAGGGAGGCCAAACAGGCAGCAAGAGGCTCTGGGAGAATCCAGACAGAGGTCAACAGATAGCTGGCCTCAGCAGTAGCATGCCCCTCGATGGATGCCTGTTTGGCAAAGTGCTGGGGGAGGGGGGTGGGACGGGGAGGGGGAGGGTTTCTTAGAGTGGGTTAGCTTAGATCAGTAGCTACAGAGACCCTTGTTGAGTCAGGAAGGGGTGAGGGTAGATGGGGTGAGGAGTAAAGCCCAGAGTGGGGCCTGGGCCTCTCAGTGCAAACCCAGCTTCCCTTGTCTTCCTCAGGCTTTTGAGCCCCTGAATTTGAGTTCAATAAAAACCTTTACGTGCTGAAAGAAACTTGTCCTTAAAATGTGTGCATTGACAGTGCCCTGGGCAGTGGGATACACTAGGTCATAACTGCCAACAGCCAATGCAACTATAGAGCTCTGTCTGGAAAGTGCTTTCATAGACAGTGTTTCACTGTAGTCTTATCAGAGGCTCAGGAGACATGACTTGCCCATATCTGGCCAAGTTCATCTTCTGTGCTTTGAATGCTGCACAGATACAGGGGGCCTATTGTGGGTTTGAGAAAGCCTTTCAACTTTGTGGTTATCCCTCTTTCCAAACACAAAATATCTGCCATTGGGCCAGAAAACAGACCCTGATTCTCATTACCAGGCATGGAGCCTGTGAACCATTTCTTCCTGGCTTCCAGCACCCAGCTGTGTCTTTCTCCCTCCCCCCAACCGAGCTGCAACCTCTAGCCACCATTCTGTACAGACTCTCACTCTGACCAGAGCCATAAGTTCCAACCCTACACGTATGGGGTTCATGTATTGGACCCAGGACAGGAGTTGGATGTCAGTCTTTAAGGCCGTCTGGCCAGACTGGCCTGATTTACTGATTTGCTACAGCTCTGCTTCCTTTTTAGGACCCTTGTACCTTTTGGTGGGACCGCCCTGTTACCACTCTGCCTTCTATCTTACTTTCCTTTCCTGACTGAGCCTCAGGTTTCCTAACAGTTGGCTCCTCAGGAAAAGATGGGAAGTTGGTGCCATCAGTGATTCTGGGGGATTCTGGGGTGTGGCCTGACAGTGCCCTGTAAAGGTTTCTTTATTCTATTTCACAGATTAGGAAAATGCAGGTCACCAGGCTAAGTGACCTGCTCAAAGTCACTCTGTGACTATGAGGAAGATCAGACATTTAGACCTCATCTGCCTGGCTTCACCTGCCCCGCAGAGCTTGGCCTCAAGAGATCTTAGTCGTAGCTCTGTAAGACCTCTTGGGCCTCAGGATACTGACATTACTCCCAGCCCCATGCCCATCCTCAGGGCCTTATAACTTGTCAAGAGTAAATCACTTCTTTAAGCACATTTCTTCTTTAAAAAATATTTTTAAAATTTATTTATTGATTTTAGAGAGAAAGGAAGAGAAAGAGAAACATTGATTTGTTTTTCCACTTGTTTATGCACTCATTGTATGCGCCCTGATCAGACCCACAACCTTGGCATATCAGGACGATGCTCCAACCAGCTGAGTGACCCTTCCAGGGCCTAAGCACATTTCTGTCTAGCTTCTCATGATCAATAAACTCAGGAAGGGGCCTTAGGAATCATGTAGTTCAACAGATTTTGGTTGTGTTTAGTGGTTTTCAAAGTTTTAATTATTTTTGGAAGTAGAACATTTTTAAAGTAAAATTTCAGTCTTTTAAAGACTTTTGTAAACTTTATGCACATTTTTGTACAGATACTCTGCCACAAAATTTTAAAATACTCTGACTCCCACATTTAAAATACAGGATCTGGCACAAATAATGCCCCTTTTTTAATTATAAAATCTTCTATTACAAAATCATAAGCATGTAACTCTGTAACATAACAATATCACACTCAAGCACACCATATAACATGTTAGGTGAAATGTTCAAATTAAAACTATAAATTATTACACCCATATTATTATCCTACCAACCACACTCAAGCAGGCTTAACTAACTTCTGCTAGACCCTGTAGTTTGTATATCTAAGTATGTACATAGGACTGCATTTGGCTACCTGAAATGACATTACATTTGTCGGCATTACTTCAACATTTATTTCAATTATACAATGTAATTTTCATATTTTGTAGTTGAATATTTTTCAGCTTCCAAACATGTTCACAGGCCCTTGAAAGCTGGGGGGCCCTGGGCACGGTGCCTGTGGTGCTTAATTGATAAAGTAGCCAGTAGGCAGAGAATATTAGTATATAAAAGCTGATCAAATGAAGGTGGGGACTCAGGTGCTCAGCCCTACCCCTCTCATGAAAATCCTGAGGTACCTCCAGATGCCAGGTGGGGCAGACCAAACCCAAAACGATCATGTGTCTTCTCTGAGATCACAGTGGAAGAGCTAATAATGGAAGTGGTAGAACTCTAAGAGCAGATACCTTGATTTGCAGTCCAGGATGCTGATTTTACCACATCATCCTGCACATCTAAACAACTGTTTCTATCCACCACTGTTACCAAGCACTGTTGGGCTAGGAACAGTGACCAACAGTTTACAAGTGTTACCTCATATAATGCTCTTAACAGCTCTGAGATATACTCATATACAAGGTGGAGCAAATCGTAGGTTTACGGTTGTGAGAACACAGAACAGAGTTTATTTTTGTATTATTATTTATTATTTTCCATGAGGACAACTGTAAACCTGCTTCTTCGGCCCCGCCCTGTGCAGTTATTGTTCCTATTTTACAGATGAAGAAATGAGTCCCTTACAGGATAAATAATTGCCCCACAGCACACACAGAGCCTGGATTCAAACCTAGGGCTTGCTGGGTTTTGACTACTTTACTAACAATACTAAGATGTTATTTACTTTTTTACTGTGTTTCTCCCATGAGTACAGTGTTGCCTAGAGGTTGCATGGCTTGTCTTGGCAGATGTCATCACTCTGACGGTTCTGTGGAATATAGGCCTGGGTGTTGTGTTTTAAATTTTTCACTCCATTTTAATTTCTAACTGGACGAACACCAATAGATATACCCCATGAAAACAAAAGCTCTTTGGGGATCCTCAGGAATTTTTAAGAGTATAAAGGGGTCCCAAAACCAAAACATTTGAGGGCCACATTTGAGCACTTCCTTTATGCCAGCCCTGGTGAGGGGCCAGTGTTGGTAACATGAATAAATGAAGCCTGAGTCCTACCTTCCAGAACTTTTTACTCTTGAGACAGGAGCCCAAACAGTCAGTGTTATGTGCCCCAATGAGGTATAAACAAAGTAGTGATAGAATAGGTCATTTTGTCCAGGAATTGTGGGATTAAGACAAAGTCCAAAGTGCTTGGAAACAGGAGGATTCATGGATAGGAAAGAGGTGGAACTTCACATGCTGGCAAGGGGAACAACATGTACAAAGGCACACAGGTGGGAAAGGACATGCATGTGTTCAGGGGCAGGTGTTGTTAAGTAAGTTGGTATATAGATTCCTGGGGATAACGATGGCAGGTCTGTTCTGAACTGAGCCTCCCAGATCTGTGCTTGTTTTTTTGTTGTTCAGTTATAGTTGTCCCAATTTCCCACCTACCACGTTGCTCTCCTCTGCTCTGTGCTTTTTTGGCTTCCGGCCTGGAGGCAAATATCCACTTTTTTCCTCTTGTCGCAGAGTATCACCTCCTTGGAGAGACTTTCCTGACCACCTATACAAAAGGACTCTCTCTGTCACCCTCCTAACCCCATTATCCTGCTTTATTTTCTTCACAGTCCTATCACTACCTGGAATCACATTTCTACTTTTTAACTGTTTTCTCACTGGAGTGAAGCTTCCTGAAGGCAGGGACTTGTCTGTCATGTTCATCACCATGTCCTCAGAGCACAGGACAGAGCATGATACAAAGCACTTAAGAAATATTGCATGAATGACTGCAACCTGACAGGCTTCACAAGGCCTACAGACACTTTCATGTACTTTTCAGTAGTTCTGTGATAGTCCTGTTAAAACTGATCACAAGAGGGCAGTAGTGACTAGCCTCTTCTGTCCCTGCTAAAGGAGGGGCCTTAGAGTTTTAAAAAGTGTGGGGGAGGGAGTGGTAGCAAGGGAGTGTCTACTCTCACATCTTTGTAAATTGTTAGTGCTTCTCTAACCTTTTCTCAGTTTCTGTGTCTCTCTCCCTACTTCTCCATTTAAAAATCCTCACCCAACTCATTTTTTTTTAACGGATTTTTAGAGCAGAAGTGAGAAAGAGAGAAACATCAATGTGAAAGAGAAACATCAATCAATTGGCTGCGCTCCCTAGGTATGTGCACTGACCGGGAATCCAGCCCACAAAATTTTGGTGCATGGGATGACACTCCAACCAGCTGAGCCACCTGGCCAGGGCTCTTCCTGCTTCTGTCTTTTTAGAATATGTTTATTGATTTTACAGAGAGAGGAAAGGAGAGGGTGGAGAGAGAGACAGATAGACATAGACCGGCTGCCTCCCCTATGCACTCTGATGGGGGATTGAACCCACAACTTAGGCAGGTACCCTGAGACCAGGGACCAAACCCACAACCCTTTGGTGTACAGGATGATGCTCAACCAAATGAGTCATACTGAAAGGGTTCCTTGCTTCTCTTTTGAAGTAGCCCACAGTAGCTGGTGCAGGTCAGTCTCTAGGGGTTATCATGGCAGAGAGAGGGAGAGAGAGGGACAAGGGGAGAGAGAGAGAGAGAGAGAGAAGAAAAGTGAGAGCTACTATTTTGTTCTTACTTAGTGCAATGGTTGAGAAGAAAATGGTCATTTGAGCCAGGCTGGAATGTTGTACCAGCACAGAAACATCACAAAGTTAGACAGAATTTCACATTTATTGGGTAAATATACACAGTCAGTGTGCTTGGCACTGGGAGCCAGGTGAATGGTCACGGTCCCCACCGTGAGCTCAGAGTCTCATGGTGCAGGCCACAGTGGGGGTGTGATGGACTCCCGGTGGGGGTTGTGGAAGGAGGGGCAGGTACGCCTGGGGAAGACTCATCCCTTAAGAATGAGATGCCATGGGCCCGTCCAAACTTGTTTCGCTATCATACACAAGCTCTCTCATTAACTGACTGAAATTGTGTCAATTATGTACTATGTGTCTAGGACGTCATTATGGGTCCCAAGGTATGATCCCTACCCATGGAGTTCACTGTTTAATTTGAGATATGAATATTAAGTAAATCATTTAACAATGAACACATATGATCCCTGCTAATACAGACAATTGCAGGTTATTGTAAGCGTGCATAATATAGGACCCCAAATGAGCTGGGGTTGGGGGCCGCCCTGAGGAAGTGATACATGAGCTGAGGAGGCCTGAAGACTGATGAGAGTTAGCCAGGAAAAGGTGGGGGAATATCCCAGGCAGAGAGAGCTGTCTGGGTGAAGACAGTGAGAGAGGAGAAAGCTTGGCATGGGAGAAAGGCCTGCGTAACTAGAGCTCAGAATGGAGGTGGGGTGTCTCTACAGGAGGCCAGAAAGGCAAAGGTGCCCAGTTTTGCATTGGCATTGTATTAAGGATATTTTGCAGATTTTGGAAGGCATATTAAGGAACTTGGTCTTTAACTAAAGAGCAAGGGGTCTGCAGGAGCAATGTAGTGACATGTAGCAATCTGCCCTCGGGTAGTGGAATGGAAAGCTGGCCGGACTCCGTGCGGGAGAGAGTGCAGGGCAAGTTCTGGGAGCTGGAGACCTCTGTGGACTTCCAAGGGCAGGTGGGTATGAGGGCTGGGAGTGTCACTAGGTTTTGGGACTACAGTTTCTCCAAATTTAGATTTAGACATTCTCTTCCAGGAGAGGAAACTAAGAGGGGCTGATAGAAGCCAGGACCATCTGATAATTACAAGGCCTCACCTCCTGGCCCACCCCTCACTCAATCCTCACCATGATCCTGCAAAGGAGGCAGGCAGGAATGAACTCCATGTTCGAGGCAGAGAAACTGAAGCCTAGGGAGAGGCAGCAACTTGCCGGAAGACACAGAGTGACATGCAGGTAAAGGCGGATGGGTACCAGACACCCCAAGCCCAGTCCTAGGCCCCCTGCATCAGCCCTGGGCCTCAGTCTGTGCCACCTCCATCCTGGCCCTCCTCTGTGTGTAGGGGATCCAGGCAGCTCGGATCCGTGGCCTCTTTCTCAGATGACAGCTGCCCAGCGTCTTCTCCAGGGATTCCATTGGAGGCGTCGATTGTAGCCTCCATCTTCTCCTTCAGGTCCCGTTTGAAGAAACCAACCTGTAGAAAGACAAAAATTGAATGAGCAGAAAGTCCATGGAGCATAGTAGGCCCTGGCGAAACATGAAAGCACTCTTTATGTTAATAATACATATGTGCCACAGATATGTGGTGTCCTTTCCAGGGATGGGATGAAAGTATCTGCCACACCTGGTTCTTGGCAATATGTTGAAAAGCTGTACATTTACTGGTTCATTCTTGAGGCTCATCAAAACATCATGTATACCTTTGCTGGTGTGGCTCAGTGGATAGAGCACCAGCCTGCAAACCCCTTCAAAGGTCACTGGTTCGATTCTCAGTCAGGGCACATGCCTGGATTGTGAGCCAGATCAATGTATCTCTCATACATCGATGTTTCTCTCCATCTCTTTATCCCTCCCGTCCCCTCTCTTTAAAAGTAAATAAGTAAAACCCTAGAAAAAAAAGAAAAAAAACCCATCATGTACAATATTTTAGGTGGGTGACTTAAAAATATCTAGTAATACTAATAGAAAGAGTCCATGCTTATATAGTACTTAGTAAGTGTCATACACTCTCTGTGGAAAGCTCAAAACATATATATTATTTGGCTCAGCAATTCCAGGTCTAGGAATTAATTTGAAACAATATTTGGACAAGTGTGCAAAGATGTGGGTAATAAGAGATTTTTTGTCACGGTGTTCAAAGTAGATGTAAATTACAAACAATCTAAATGTTCATAAATAAAGAGCGTGTAAAAGAAAAGGTAGGAGGATATCCAGGCAGCAGAAAACCACCCAGGTTACAAAGCAAGAAGATCTGATTGTGCTCGGACAGAAAGGCACCAAGGTATAATATCCAGGGTAGGGGTAGAGAATACAAGTTCCCAAGCAGGATATACAGTCTTATCTCATTTACATTTTCTACATATACACACATCCACTGATCTTTCTCTCTCACGCTCACACACACACACACATATATATGTTAACAACAAAACTATAACCTGGAAGAATAGAAACAAAAAAGTTGTTAATGACAACCCTCTGGGGTACAATAGTAAGAAAATTTTATTCTTAGATTCTCTTTTCTGGAATATTTGAATCCTTTACGTGGAACACCTGCCCTCCAGCTCTCTTTTTTAGCTAACTTCTACTCATCCTTTCAATCCCAACTCAAATTCCACCTCTTCCCAGGCCCCCTGCCCCGCCCCAGCCTAAGTTAGTCTCCTGTGTTACAGGCTCCAGAACATACAGGCTCTACAGAGGAGCCTTCATCATGTGTGTTCCTGTCTCTCTCCCCCAGTAGACTGTGAGCTTTACAAAGGCAGGGGCCATGTTTGTGGGATGTGCCTCTGTATCGCAGTGCCGGGCTCTGGGTATATAGGACAGCACTTCTTCCTCTTCCTGGGCACCTAGTCCTGGCCCTGCCAGTGCTCGGCAGAGTAATGGGGGAAGTCTTGCTTGCTCTGCGGGCCTCGGAAGCCTTATCCATGGATGGAAGGAGTAGGCTGAGGCCCCTTTTAAGCTTTGATGCTCCCTGGTCATGGCATTCTCCTTCCTGACTCCTGCCAATCCCTCTTCCCCAGCCCGCCCACTTCAGTGATGCCCAATCCTTCTAGTCCTACCTTGTAGAGCACCAGGAAAATCAGCAGCAGCAACAACAGCCCCCCGATGCCACTCAGCATGTAGAGATAGAGCATATCCTTCTCATATACAACGTCAACCTTCGTGATGACCTGGGGGTGGATGACAGGAGGGAAGAAGCTTTCCCCAGCCCCTAACATGTCTTGAGAACCCGGCAGCGACTTCTAGGTCTTCGCATTTCCAGTCTGGACTGTGTCATAACACCAGACTCCGATCCAGGCCCCCTCTCTCCAGCATACCTCCTGCTGCAGCGACCAGAGTGAACTGGCGGACATGTACCATGGCGCACCTTAAACCCTTAAATGGCTTCCCTTAGTCTCAGGGGAAAATGCTAGAATTTCTGTTCAGCATGCAGAGTCTTCCAGAATCTGGTTTCTGCTTGCTGTTTTAGCTGCAGCTTCCCTTCTCCTGCCCTGAGCCTTCCGCTCTGAATCACGTCTTGCCCATTTTCTCAACTCTGGGCCCTGCACTTGCTGCTCTCTCTGCTTAGAGTGTCCTCCCATCATGCTCTGCCTATGGAGTGGGTAACTGTTTGATGAGCTGCCATCAAAATGATCTTTACCTGATGCATTTCGGACAGGGGACCTTGTAATCTGCTTGCTCACCTCGTGGTGAAAGCTTGCGGCTTCCATGGAAGCCTTTGCCAAGGCTGATGACTCTGGCTGTGGGGAAGCTCTAACTGTGCTAACCCCAAACCTCCTCCCACATGGCTGCCCGCTTCTAGCTCTGGCTCGTCCAGCTCTGCCCTGTAGTTCCTCAGATCTCTCTGCTGACCTCTGTTCCCGGGTCTTCTGAGGAGGTAAAGAGATACCTGGGCCAGGGAGGCGTTGCTGCCATAGAGGTGGAAATGCTTGCTGCTGTTGAAGGAGATGGAGAGGGAGCTGCAGAGGCTTCCCATGGAGGAGGCCTGCGGGGAAGGGGGGAGAAAGCGTCAGGGCCAGAGCACAAGGCCCCACCTCAGCCCAAGGGGCAGAGGCAGAGGAGGACAGGTCCCAGTGGGGAGCAGCACGGCCGTGAAGCTCTGCATTCCATGTGCCATTCCCATTGCTGGAAGAAAAGTTTTTCTATAAAGAACCTGTCAAAATTATGCACAGGCCCATGGAAAACAGCCTTGAAAATTTCAAACAGATCATCGTTCTCTCTCACCTGTAACTGTGTAAAATCGGGGATTTTTCATAAAGATAAAACAGGACATGCAGGAAGACCACATGGTGGGGGACCCACCCCCTACTGGACAAGGCTCCCACAGCCACTTCATTTCGGTTGCCAGGAGGTGCTACCTTGATCTCGTCCACCAGCTCCACAGTCCCCATCACTTGGACGAGGATCTCCTTCCTGAAGGCCATGGGGCAGCGAAACTGGGCTCCGGGCAAACAAGGCTGCTAGGAATAAGGAACAGCAAGGGGCTTGGAGAGGCTTGTGTTTCTACCTGCACTCTGCCCAGCCCCACCTTAGCCCACAGGTCCATACCTCAGCCTCACTGGGTGCCCTTTCCAGATTCTCATAGTGACAGTCGACAGGAGGCTCCTAGGAAAGATGAGACAGGATCTTCAGTTAGTCCAGAGCTGAGAGAGGACACTGACCCCTTAAGGCCAGAACCTGGCGTTCCTCTTCACCCCCAAGATGGGACCTTGGCATCCCAGTTCTCTCCTACTGGCCCGTGGCAGACTCAGACATCTCTGAGTGTGACAGGATTCATCCATCCTCACTTGCTTCCCAAGCATCTGCACCCGTTTATGAGCTCACCCCCACAGACCCGGGCATTTTTCCTCCTCTGGGCAGCACTCACCATCTGCATGCTCCACTTGTGAGTGATGGGCCCCTCACTGTGAGGCTGTGGCACCCCAATCAAGGCTTCCAGGTTGGGCATGTTATGGTCGTGGACAGACAGCTGAATCTTCACCTGATACAGAGGACAAAGGGCTGCTGAGCTCTGAATGCCAGCCATTCTAACTGCCGCCCCAGATCCAGTCCTCACTGGCTGAGGCGCAATGGCCCACGTGTTAGGCTGTGGGCAGCAATCTGCCATACCCTGCCCCATCCTCAATTACACGTGTGGGTTACGTGTGCTTCTCTGCTTTCTTCATGTGACAAACCCTCACCCTGCAAGTTACTGCTCAAATATCATTCTGAAAGTTTGCTTCAAGAATAGGGCAGCTTCCCATTCCTGTGTTTCCCTAGCGATCTGCAGCTCCAGCAGGATGCTAAAGTGTCTGCCTGTGTGTCTGTATCTCCACGAGGCTGTGGGCTCGTGAGAGTGGGAGTTGTGGCTTGTTCCGCCGGCAATGCACTACTGCTTGACACAGTAAGAAGCACACAATAGGCTCAAGGAAGGCAGTTCGCTGAATGAGTGAAAGAATCAATAACATTTATCAAGGATAGATGCAAGTATCATTTGCACAATGGAGGCTGGGAAAGATTTGTTTTGGCAAGTATATTGTACTAGTTTAAGAAATATTTCTTGAGTACCTTTTGTACAAAAGAGCTATATGTGCTAGGGTTGGAAGATCCAGAAATGTATACAAAAGTGATGTAAGAGTAGCACTAATGAAAGTCTCAGGGAGGTTGAGTAGGAAAATATATATCCAAATTGAGGTGCTCTATCATTTATTCATTCAGTAAACATTTGTGGACACTTAAAATGTCAGTTATATTGAACTAAAAAGTCTAATGTCAGAGGCAGCGTTTGAATTTAACTGCGAAAGATAAACAGGAAATTAACAGGTGAAATGGGGGAAGGTATACAGAAAGAGAAAGCACAGGGAGTTAGGACTATACCAGGTAAGTGTAATGTGGCCAGAGGGCAGGAGTGCTTGGAAGAAGAGTGGGAGGTAAGTCTGGAAAGGAGACATGGGATCAGACTGTGGGTCCCAGAAGGCCTGGGGTCAAGAAGTCAGGGGACCATTGGCTGGCACTGGGGAGTCATGGAAAGCAGCAAGGAGGGGTGGCCCCAGGGGACTCATCCATTGCAGGTACAGACTGGGAAGAGGCTGGAAAAGGTGGGTCAAGGCCCAAGCCAGGAGCCTGTGCCAGTAGTTCGCTTGCAAGAAGACGAGAAATTCAGTTGGAGCAGTATCAGGGACAAAAGAGAAAAAAGGATATATGCAACAAAACATGAGGAGGCAGTGGGTCCAGACACACTGGAAGGAAAAATTCACCCAGGCTTGGAAATTTTGCTTGAGGAAAAACTCGTGCTTTTAAAGGGTTTAAACAAGCCAGAGAAGGTATAGGAAAAGATGATAAATTTAGAACATGTTGAGACCAAAGTTTCAAGAGGAGCAACTGTAGTTCTAGTTACATATCCAAGAGAAATAAAACATATGTTCACATAAAAATTTGTACAGGAATGTCTAAGCAGCATTATCAATGCTAGCCAAAAAGTGGAAACAACTCAAATGTTCATGATTTGATGAATGCATAAATCTAATGTGGCCTATTTTACAATGGAATATTATTTGGCAATAAAAATGAAACAAATACTGACACATGTTACACCATGGATGGACCCTGAAAATACTATGTTAAGTGAAAAAAAACCAGTCACAGAAGACCCTATGTTGTACAATTTCAGTTATATGTGATAGCCAGAATAGATAAATCTATACAGAGAGAGAAGCAGTGGTTGCCAGGAGCTGAGGGAGGAAGGATGGAGGAGGACGAAGGGATGTGCAAAGTGATCCAGAGTGGTCAGGGGCACCGGCCCAGAGCACGTACCTGCTGTGAGGGAATTGTAGTGATGACAAAGCAGAAAACAGAGGGTTAGAACCTGTGTATAATATCATCATTTACTGAGCTCTTACAGCGCAAGGCCTCTTCTGATTCTCATTAAATGCATCATCTCATTTCGTTTTGAGTTATTTTGTCTGAAGCTATCAAGTACTAGAGCTGGCGTTCTAATCTAGGCTGACTCCAGAGACTGAAATCACTATGCTCCATCACCTTCCTTGGACAACAATGCTAATAATAATGCTAGAAAACACGCAAGTTGATAGATGCCTAATGTGTCAATTACCACGCTAAGCACTTGACACATATTTTCTCACTTGCTCCTCATAACAACCCATAAAGTAGGTGTTTATTATTTCTGTTTTATAGACTGAAGAACGGAGGCTCCGAGAGGTCAAGTAAACTGCCTATGGCCACATAGCTTTAAACTGGCAGAGCTCAAAAAGATTTCAGGTCCAAATGAAGCCTGCATTCCTTACCTGCTAGGGGAGCAGGGGACCTTGAGGAAGGAGATCCTATAGCCCAGCTGTCCAATTCTCATTTGTCTAGCCTGCGATAAACCTCAACTATTAGAGCTGACCTCCTTGTGGCAAAAAGGGCCTGAGTAACGGGACAGTTTCAGGAAAGAAGGAATGGATCACCAATGTCTCATACTGTGTTGGGTGTAGTTAACACAGAGACTATATTAGGACCTTCAGCAATAGTGGTGGCTTGGAGGGCCAGGCAGTGGGGAACCAACTGCTTGGCTTAAGATGTTGGGGGGGTGGTGAGATGGATGGAGGTATTTAGCCCAGATGACTGTTCTGGGGAAAGAGGAACGTCAAGGGATTTGAGCTGGTTCTGGGCTGAGTGAGGCAAGAATGTAAGGAGGCTTCCGCAGAGGCTGGGGGATCTCAGGGCCACAGCATAATGCCCACCTCACGCCTCTAACAGCCTCCACTTCCCCAGGCACTGTGCCAAGCCCTCGACAAACAGAAAGTAACCCACCAAACCTCATGGCCACCTGTGGAATTCTTATTCCAAACTCCATTTATGACAGGGGAACTGAGGCATGGACAGGTAAGTTCCTGGCCCAAAGCCACAGAAGTGCGCAAATGGCAGGTCTGGGGTTTGGATCCGTGCCTACTTGGTAAGGAGGGGCCTGGTTAACTTCCGGGGGAACCTAGAGCCATCCCAGTGAACAGCACTAGAAGCCAACTCAACTGGCTATTCCAAACATTCTATTTCAATGCAAATGGGCATCCAACCTTCCCAAAGGTCACTCTCCCTCCTCACAGTCTCCAGCCTCTGTTCTGAAGGGGCCAAAGCTGCTCCAGGGCCCTTTACTGCTGGGCTCCTTTCCCAGTCTGCTCTGACTCCAGTGCAGCCTTAGGTGAGGCAGTTCCTCTTTGGGCCCTCCATTTTCTCCACAGTCAAATGAAAATGCTCTTGACTGGTCGGTCAGTGCCTAATCCTCCCCTGAGATTACCTCTAAGAAAGCCTTAGACTCCTCAAGCTTTGGACTTGGGGGCAGGCTCCTTCATCTGAGCTCCCATAATGAGGATTACTATTACAGCACTGAGCAAATTGCATGAGAAATGACAGATCCTTAACTTAGAGGTTAAACACATGGATCTTGGTATTCAAGTTAAGTGCTCGAATCTCATCTTTCCCCTTCTTAGCTATATAGCCTGGGCAAGTTACTTGACCTGTCTGTGCCACAGACTTCTCATCTGTAAAATGGGAATGGCAATGCCTCCCACAGGTTATAGGGCTCTCACAGGTTGGTGTGAGGATTATAAGGGTTGTGTACATAAGCACCAGGCACAAAACTTGGATTTGGTAAGTGGACAGGGACCCTGTTTTATGTATTGCTGCCCAGAGCCTAAGCAAAGTACCTAAACTAGAACAGTGGCTCATTAAATGTTTGAATGAAAAACTAGGTTCTTGCCCTGGCTGGTGTGGCTCATTGGATTGAGCGCCAGCCTGCAAACCAAAGGGTTGCTGGTTCAATTCCCAGTGCGGGCCACATGCCTGGGTTGCAGACCAGGTCCCCAGCAGGGGGTATGCAAAATGCAACCACACATTGGTGCTTCTCTCCCTCTCTAAAAATAAATAAATAAAATATTTAAAACAAAAAACTACTAGGTTCTCTTCTCAGAGCCCTTCTGGTTCTGAAGTTCTGTGGTTTTTAAAATAATTTACCCAGTGGTGGAAAGGAGTTGGTGAATATGCTGTCAATGGAGGCTGTGAAATGACACAGAAAGGACTGGAGAACTAGGTGGAGGGCTGGACTCACTGAGGACAAGACTGAGGCTAATCGGTCTGTGTATCCTCGGTCCCCAGGATGGGGCCGAGTGAACATGTGAGCTTTAGGGATCTTACACATTGAGGTTTGTACCTGGTAGATGTGGTTGACATGGTGGATCTTGGCATCCTTAGGGGTGAAACTGATGTAGAGTGTGGAGTTCTCCTGGCTGTGGAGAGAGAGAAGAGCAGAGGTAGAAGGTGAAGAAGACAGCAACCCAGAGGCAACCTGTGGGCCTGAGCCTGGGGAAGACTTTGAATCGCCAGCACTGTGTTGGGGACCTCAATGGCATGACCTCATGCAATCCTTACAAGGCTCTGCTGTTTCCTTTTGGAAACTAAGGCTCGTAGAAGAGGTCAGCCTCTTGCCCCAGGCCTGGAACCCCAGGGACTGTGTCTTTGGAGCCACGTTCTTCCCGCTGCACACCGCCTCACCAGGGCCTCCGCTGCGCCGGCCCCACTGCTCATCTCCCAGATGGCTGTGCCGGCCTCTGGCTCCCTCTCTCACCTCACCGTTCCCTTGACCTTCCTAACCTCACATTTTGATCCTGCCGCTCGCCTACACGGAATCCATCAAAGGCTCCTGGCAGCCCACAGGGTCAGGTCCAAAGCTAGATCCTGTCTGCCTGCCTGCTGCCCCTGCACAGACCTGCCGTATCCTGAGCTGCCTGCTCCCTGCTCCCAGGTCTAGCCAACTGTTTGCTGCCTCCAAGCCTTCCCCTAGGCTTTTGTCTCTGATGAGAATGTCCTCCCTCCTCTCTGGCCCTTGTCCTCGTCCTCCAGACCCCAGTTCGAACCCCAACTTCTCCATGACCCCTTTCATCTCTCTTCCAACCCACATCATCTTTCCTGGCTCTAATTTCATATAGCACTTCTGACAACATCATTGCGTTTGACATTTGTGTTCAAAAACACCAGAGACCCCGGCTCAGGCACCGGTTCTGTCCTTATCTTACTGAGCCAACTTAAAAAGCCACTCCACTTTTCTGGCTTAACCTCCTTTTCTGTAAATGAGGAAATCCAACTAGTGATCCCCGTGCATCCCTCCTTCCACAATACTCTTTTTTCCCCCCCAAAGATTTTATTTCTCTATTTTCAGAAAGAGGAGAACGGAGAGAAAAAGAGGGAAAGAAACATTGCTCGGTTGCCTCGCGCACACCTCCAAATGGGGACCTGGCCCGCAATGCGGGCATGTGCCCTGACAGGGAATCGAACCGGCAGCCTTTTGGTTTACAGGCTGGTGCTCAATCCAGTGAGCCACACCAGCCAGGGCTCCTTCCACAATATTCTGAGACTCACTGATTCTCAGCGTGCATGAGTTTGGTCTCCCCTATCTGAATATAAGCTCTAGGCAGGCAAGGGCCATTGTGAAAACCCTTCCCCCACCTTTACTAGCAGTGCTGGCCCCAGAAGGAAGGGGACCTAGCACAGCTGGCAGCAACAGAGAGAGTGGCTGCAGGCTTGGACTCAGACTTAAGTGCAGATTCCAGTGTTGGTACTTCCTAGCCCTACGACTCTAAGCCAGTCTCTCCCTTCTCCGTGCATTAGTGAAAAGGAAAGAGGCATAGCTGCCTTGAGTGGTGTGAAAGCTTTGGGAAAGCCACCGGCTGGGCACACAGCTGGCACATGGCCTGATGGAAGGCCAGCACTCAATGTGCTGCTTTTTCCATCAGTAAATGCTGATCTGACTCAGAGCTCTTAAAGGGCCTTTGCTCTTTTGAGTGTTGAAAACTGTTGGGGTTGTAGCTGGAGTCAGTTCTAATTACCGTGGGGGCGTACACTAGGACAGGGAGGGGGGTTTTGAGGGACAAGTCAGGGAGGCAAGGTCCGGACCCTGGGTGGGGAGGCTGAGGTGGGAGGAGAGGGTGAGATGCTGCTCAGGACTCACGTTTCGGTGAGGATGTTGATGGGGTACAGGACTGGAATGCGGGTGGTGGTAAAGTTGTTCCCCAGGAGGCCCAAGTCCTTATTGTCACTGCATTGGGGCAAAGGAAGGGCAGTATCAAGAGCAGAGCTCGGCCAGAACTGCATGGCAGTCTGAGGCCAGGCCAGGGATGCTGGGGTGCTGCCCTGGGGTCTGCTCACCAGGACACTTTGGCGTGCAGCTCGACAAAGTCCCCCCAGGAGCCATTCAGCAGAGTGTGGAACATCACCTGGATAACAACCTGGCAGGGGAAGAGAGGGGAATGAAGAAGGAAGGGCCTGAGCCTCAGGGGGCAGCCTTCAGCACCCCACAGCCCACATACTCAGCCTCCGGAACAACAGCGACCGCTTACCCAGTGCTTACTACATCTCAAGCACTGGGCTAGGAGTTTCATCCCCATCACACATGGTTAAGTCGTGTGTGTGTGTGTGTGTGTGTGTGTAAGGTCATAAAATGAATAACTCAACTCCAGGTTTGTCTGATTCCAAAGCCCAGACTCTTAAATATGGCACAAATCACCTCTGCACACATTCCCTTTGGGGTGGAGGGTAAGCCCTTCTCTGCCAATCACCCGCACCCTCCTCCAGAGCCAGGAGCTCCCTCCCCTCCTGAGCTCAGAGCCCCTGGCTGCTTGGTTCCTAAGGGCTCGAGGCACTCACCGAGCTGCCCGCTTTAAAGATGGGAGAGCTCACATTGCAAGAGAGGTTCCTGGTCAGAAGCTGGGGCTCCTCAGCAACCTCCTCGCAGCTCACAGGTATCTGGCTGTGGGGCTGGGAGTGAGAAGTGAGAGACAATGAGCTTTTTAGTGGGCAAGGCTAAGCGTTCCCCAGAAGCCACCAACCCCCAGGGCCCACCTCCTCCAGCTCTGTCCCTTTCAGGGCACATTCTCAGAAAGGTGGGATCAAAGAATCAGGAGCACAGCCAGAGTTTTAGTGCTAAGATGTTCACTGCAACACTATTTATCACAGTCAAAGACTGGAAGTGATCAAGTAGTCCAAAGAGATAGGAATGGTGCAGTCAACTGTTATACAGTGACAGGGGAGGATATTGTGAGATTGTTAAAATGCTGCTAGGTCAACACATTCAGCAATTATTTATTTTTTTAAAGAGCTTTTACTTATTTATTTTTAGAGACAGGGGAAGGGAGGGAGAAAGAGGGGGAGAGAAACATCAATGTGTGGTTGCCTCTCGCGGACTCCTGCTGGGGACCTGGCCTGCAACCCAGCATGTGCCCTGCACTGGGAATCGAACCAGTGACCCTTTGGCTCGTTCGCAGGCTGGCCCTCAATCCACTGAGCCACACCAGCGAGGGCAGCAATTATTTTTAAAAAGAGATAGATCTGGGGCTAAGCAGTATAAAAACCATTCATCTTCATCACATTCTGTGAAGGACAGATTTCAGCCTCATACTGGAAAGGGCACTGGATCAGGAGAGAGAGGCTCAGGGAAGTTGAGTGCTTTCCCCAAAGTCTCACAGCTGGGTAAGCTGGCAGGGACCTGGTAGGAACTTGAACACAGGTCTGACTCCAGATCTCAAGTTCTTTGTCACTCTACTAGATGCCACTTCAGGAAGCATTTCATATTGCTGTATAAGAATAATCCCAGTGTCCATGGACAGATGAATGGATACATGCTCTTACATGAACCTCACGAACATGCTAAGTGAGGTGATACAAACACAAAAGGACAAATACACTGTTCCACTCATATGAAATATGTAGAATAGGCAATTTTGTTGAGATGTAAAGTAGATTAGAGGTCACTATGGGAAGAAGGTGGGGAACTGGGAGTTATTGCCTAATAGGTATAGAAGTTCTGTTTGTGATGATGAAAAAGTTCTGAAAATAAGTAGTGGTGATGGTTGCACAACATCGTCAATATAGTCAATGCCACTGAATTATATATATTACCACAATAAAAACATTTTTTAAAAATGGAGAAAAAATAACCATACGGAGAGCAAAATGCCAACTTAGTTCAAATATAGAATAAGTAAATACATGCTGCAATTCATGTGTACACACAGAAGGATAAACACCAAAATAAAAGTAGTAATTGCTGAGTTGTAGAAGTAGGGGTGATTATCTTCCTTAAACTTCTCTGTAATTTCCAAGTTTTTGTGGAGATCAGGTATTACATTTGTAATAATAATAATAATAATAATAAAAGAAAAAACGTTTCACTTCAAACAACCCAGGCCATCCCTCAAAAACACGTTGGTCGCCTTTAGGAGGGAGGCAGCTTGACCTCACTAAACCTGTGTGTGTATTCTTGGTTAGCAGGCCCAAGAGCCTTTGTTACACTCCAGTTCCTGAGACCCTCTCACTAACCCTGTGGGTGTCCTCAGCCTCACCTTTCTGGTTGCGGAATCTGAGGCTCACAGAGGCCTTGTATCTTAGGTCATACAACTTGAGGGTGGCCATCAGGCTGTGAAACCAGATGTGGCCGTAGGACCTCTGCATGCCAGCAGCTACCCACATCTTCAGGCTGTTCTAGCTGCCTGTGGCTTCCAGAAGCTGTGGGGTTAAGCGGGTAATGTGGGCCGACCCTGCCTTCTCACTCACCTTGAGCATCTCCACTTTTCGAAAGGAGAGTCCCCAGGGGAAACTCAGGCTGAGCCGGACCCAGTAAGCGTCTTCTCCCGAGTTATTCAGTGTCAGCTGCACGGAGAGGCTGGCAGGGGGGGTCAGAAGCAGGCCTCTGGATCTGAGGAGATCAGGGAAAAGTTATGGGGGCCAAGGTGAAGGAAGCAGGATCTGTGGTGGAGACTTTCAGAACTGAGGAATTTGGTAGTCCAAAAAAAAAAATAAACACACAAAAAATAAGCTCCAACGCACAGGCTGTAAATTTTGCAATCTCATTTATCCTGACAAGAGCGCCACAGGGACTTGAATTTCACAGAAGGGGAAACTAAGGCCCACAGAACACATCTGGTGAGTGTGATGGGGGTCTTCTGAGTGGGTTAGGAGGAGAGGGTGGGGAGCCTCACAGACCTTACAGGGTAGAAGGACAGCCCCAGGTTTGCTTCACATTGCTTGTCCTCTCCACAGTTCTTTTCGAAAGGGATCTGAAAGGCCAAAAAGAAAGGATCAGGGGTCTCAGGCCCCCACACCCAGGAGGGCCTGACCCTGGCCTCTCTCTTTGCCGCTCTTCCCTTCTTACCTCCTTGGTCTTTGAGTGCGGCGAGGGTCTCAGGATGAGCTGCCTGTCCTTGCCCTGCTGAACGCAGAGGAGTGGGAGGGCAGGAGACAGGAGAGGTTAGCTGAGGCAGCAGAACTGGTGAAGGAGGCAGAGAGTAGCTCAGGGCTTGGGGCTCAGCTGGGCCGCCTGTGGTCTGCCCCTCCCAGGAGCCAGCACCCTCCCAGGGCGGGCCCCACCCTCCAGATTCAGCCCAAGGCCATCTGTGCAGTCCTCCTCTGGTGGCAGCTCCTTGAGGATCAGGGTGTCCATTTCCGCTCCTGGGCAGGAGATCTGGGCCTTGACGAAGCAGCTCCCACAGTTCCCCCTGGCCGGTCCCCCTCTCCAGCAGGAACGCCTGCTTCACAGCCCCTGGGCTCACCCATGGGGGACCTCTCACTGTGCTTCTCCTCTGTCAACCCCAACTCCCCCAGAAGAGCTCTCTAATTAGATCAAGGCCAGTTTTTGTTTTAAGTTGGGTTTTTTTTTCCCCTTCCTCACCTGAGGATATGCTTATTGATTTTTAGAGGGAGAAAAAGGGAAAGAGAGAGACGGAGAGATGTGAGAAACATCGATCAGTTGGCTCCGGTCTGCCCCGCCGACAGTGCTCCAGCCCCACTGACCCACCCTGCCAGGGTGAGGTCAGGACTCATCTCGGCAACATTCCCAGAGCTTCCGCTCTGGGCCAGGCCCCATGCTCAGCGCCGGGTATACATCAAGAACAAAATGGACACACGGCCTGCCCTCCCAATCTGGTGGGAGAAATGATCTGGCATCTTCAGGGTTATGATGGGACAGGGTATCTTTAGAACATGTAGAAGAAAATTCTACCACACACTGGAGGGTCAGGGAAGCTTCCTGAAGAAATGGCCCCTCAACTGAAATCTAAAGGATGAGCCGGAGGGAACCAAGTAAAGAAAATGGAGAGGAAGGAAGAAAGAACAATCTACACAAAGGCTCAAGGCAAGAGAGGCTGTGCCTGTGCAGGAGCAGGAAGGTGCCCCGACGGGCTGGAGTGCCGTGGTCAGAGGGGCAGGAGAGAGAGAAGCAGCGTCCAGATCGCCCTGGGCCTTGTAAGCCCTGTTAGGGAGGTGGGACTTCATCCTGAGCATAAGGAGGTCATGGAAGTATTTTATGGGTTTTCAGCTGTATGTTGTAGTGAGATTCCAGCATCCTCTGCTTTTAGGTCCCCTGCCAAGCAGCCTCTAGACTCTTTCTTGAGGGGCAGGAGTCCTGGCAGCTTCTGCTCACTGCTCGAACCCACCCTCAACATTCATACAGGTTCCCACCACCCGCTGGACCACAGCACCTCCCAAAAGGGCATCCAGGGCCTCTGTTTTGCTCAGCTGCCCTTCTGCCAGAACCCACGCCCACCTCCCATTTTGCCTTGAACTTACAACTATACTTTCCTCATGCTGTTCCTTTGCCTTTCCTTTCTTCACCCATCAAAAGTCTACTCATTCTTTAGGATCCTGAGACAATGACACCTGCCCTAGAAAATCCTTTTTGACAACTGTGACCTCAGGTCTCGTTTCTACCCTGAGTTCCTGTATCACACATTTTGGTTTTTTAAAAATCAGTGCCGATGGCAGGCTGCTGGTTGTCCCCATATATCCTCCCTTGCCTTCTCCCTCTGTTTTTTAATCTGATCACATGTTTCTCAGGCTCTCTTGTAATTAGGTGTGGCCACACGACTATGTTCTGACCAATGAGATGTGTGTCGTGAAGAGTCTACCCATTATTCCTTCCCCTGGAGAGGCTCCAGAGCCTCCACCCTGACACCTCTTCTTCCCAATCTTGCTTTTCTAAATTTCTCTTAAATACAAACTCCCATGAATTCCTTTGCTGCTTAAGCAAAAAGGAATTCCCTCCTTTTTTATTGCTTTAAACCAAAGACTCCTTTATAATACAGTCTTGCTAAATTGAATTTCTACTCTCCTATTTCCTACCAATTCCCCCAGCTGATCTCTCCTTACCGCCCTTTGGCCTCTCGATGTCCTTTCTTCCCAGAGAGAGAAATTTAGGGAGGCGTTGATGGGAGAGATGAGGTCTTGAATGCATACCTGAGGGTGGCAAGGATACATCTTATGTTAAGAGTGGAACCTTTACTACACTTTCAGGTACATGCACACCTTGTCTACGGTTTATAAATCATGGAATTCTAGCTATCGGTTGTCTTCCTTACTAGTGGCGGGAATGCAGTTACTAGCATCAGGTTTGCTTCTCAGCACAGGTGTCATTCCTAGGGCCCAGCTGTGTGACACCGTTAATCTACCACAGCAATACTATCTCCACATTGCGGAAGAGGATGATAAGATCTAAAAAGGTGACACAATTTTTCTAAGGACTAGAACTAGGAAGTGAACCCAAATCTTTCCAACTCTCAGGTCTAAACTTCAGTTTCTTCCAGCATGTCACAGTGCCTGTTCTTTGGCAAATTTATGGTTAAAATCCTGAAGTCTTGTAATGGGAGGTATGGGTGTGAAGAGGCAAAGGGGCCCTGAGACGAGTTATGAATGAAATAAAATTGAATTGATAATTGTTGTAACTCAGTAATAGGTACTTGGGAGTTCATTCAACTATTTCTTGTACTTTTGTATGTCTCAAAATTCCCATAATAACAAAATATAAAACCAACTTCAAGACCTTATACACCAATCATGTACCACATAATTTAAAGTCACACCTACTTTACACAGGAGTATGATGAACAAACTGAATTTGAGTGTTCTAGCAATTGATTCAATCAATATTAAAACATCTTTTTCTAGGATGGATGTGAACAATAAATGACCATGTGTATCTGGCAAATAACAACATATTACCCTGACTGAATATTCTGTAAGTTGTACCAATAATTATGAAAGCTGGGTAGTAGCATTAATATATGACATATGAAAAGAGTAGAAAAATGATAACTACTTTACAATCACAATCATGTGAAAAGTGTCTTTGTATATAGATTGAGGACTAGAAGAAAATACACTGAAGTTATTCTGTCGTTCAGCAGAGGAAGTGGCAGTATGGAGAAATCAAAGTGACTTGTGACTCAGCTGTGACCCAGAGATAAGCCTTGCACCCAGCGCTGCCTCTCAGGGAATCAGCTCTTCTGCCCCTTCACTCCCTGGAGCAGCCTCGCTGGTTCCTTTACCGGGAAGTGGAACCAGAAGTCAGTGCAGGACTCCTTTACGGTGACAGCTGTATTCCCGCTGAGTACATGTCTCCCTCCTGGAAACACTCCCCGGCTCCTCGTCCGATGGCCATCCAGCTGCAGAGTGTAAGTGAGGTTGGCAACGAGGGGTCCTGAGCAGGGTGAAAAGGCAGGAGTTGAATGGGGTGGATCCTGGACCATAAGCCTGCAAACCTGCATTATGGTGGGCGGGGGGGGGCACAGATGCTGGGGGGAGCAGGAAGACAGTACTGACCTTTGAACTGGGGCATGAGAGGCTTGACCTGGAAACAGACTGTGATGTTAACTCCTTTCTTCTTCTTGTTGATGGTTGAATAGGAGCACTCTACCTCATGCACGGGTATCTCGGCCGGGGAGAAGGACATCCGAGCGATGACATCCACCACAGGCCGAGAGCTGCAGGGCAGAAAACAACCCACTGTCTCCCTTGGCCTCAGCTCTAATCCCCAGGCAGACCTCGAGCTCCATCTATCAGAGGCCAGGGTGATCCTCCGTCTCTAAGCAGACCTCCACATCAATGTCTCCGTGCAACGATAATAATGATAAGTGATTAGGGCTCCCTGACCCTCATTAGGGTTCATTCTAGCAGTCTGCTGACTCATTTTCCATACAGGAGAGTGAGCTTTTAAAAAGAGAAATCATACTGAGCTACTTCCATTCTTATAACCTTTCACTGATGTCACGTGATTCTCACAATAAAATCCAGATCCTTCCCTACCCATGCCATACTGCCTAGGACTTCTGGTCTTCCCTCCTCCACACTCGCCCTTAGCTGGCCCTGTCCCAGCCTTATCAGACTGCTGCTTTGCCTTGTACCCTTGGCACCTCCTGGGCTTTCCATATGGACAGCTCTGACCCCGGACTTCTGCAGGCCTGGCTCTTTCTCATCTTTCAAGTCCCCTCTCAAATATCACCTCAGAGAGGCCTTTTTTGGCCACTCAATCTATAGTAGGTCTCGCCTGCTATTCTCTCTCACAGTACCCTGTTTATTTCCCTCATAGCACTCATCACAGTGGTGATTACATCTTTTTTGTTTAATTTTTTGTTATATACTTTCCCATACACACTCTGTACCCAATTCAGTATTTAAGACACAGTAGGTGCTCAGTAAATATCTGTTCACTATATGATGTTCCATGAGGCTTCCAATGAACTCTAAGTTAGGGGTAAGACAGGAGACTTAATCATCATCTCAAGAGACGAGGAAACTCAGGTCCTGAGAAGCTCAGTGACTGGTGTAAGATCATCCAACAAGTAAATGGCAGAGCTTCAGCCTGAATCCAGGGCACTAGGTTCTAAGCCAGCACATGCTGTTGCTTCTCCAGGTTTTAATGTCACAAAGGTCTGGGTTCAAATCCTAGTGTGTCACTGAACAGCAGCTGTTTTGCTTGGAGTAAGGCATGAAGCCCGTATAAAGAGAAAACCTATCTCACAAGGTTGGAGGGAAGACCAAATGAGCCAACACCTATAAGCAATTAGCACAATCCCTGTACGGTAACTGTTCAAATGATGAGAGCTGAGATTATTATTAGGTGAGACTCAGGAGTTCCATCTTACCTCAGCACCATCACCTGACCCTCAGCCCCCACAGCCACGTCTGCCAGGCCGTCCCCTCCAAGGTCCTTCACCCCGTGAATGGAGCGTCCAAACCACCGAATTCCTGGGAACACCTGGATCCCTTCTATCCGCTAAGACCAAGAGAGAAGTTCATGTGAAGCTAGGAAGAGGGCTGGCTGGAGGGCAGGAAGGGTCAGGCTGGGGAGTGGAGTCTGGGTTGAGAGGCTTCCAGGCACCTGGGAATGGGTTTCAATTGGCAGGCAGGGTACCTCACCTGACTTGGCCGGAGGCTCAAGCCACCATGTTGACCATTGAAGATGTACACAGCCCCCTGCTCCTCCAGAGGCGCTCCCACAGCCACGTCCATCAGCCTGTCCCCATTGATGTCGGTCAGGGCAGTGATGGCTGCTCCAAATCGCCCAAGAGGGTAGCCAGGATGCCCCTGCAGTTCTGAGACCACTTCAAACCCCAGCTAGGAAGGAGCAAGGTGACAGGTCCCACCTCAGTCACTCAGCAAGTGTTCACAGGGTGAGGCATTTCATGTGTGAACATCACTAAAGAAATGTTGGGTGTGGTCCCTCACAGAATTGGAATGACGCCATTAGACTAACCTGGGTTCAAGTTCCAGCTCCACCTCTTACTATGTGTGTGACTTTGAGGCTTTGGAAAATTCTCCACCTTTCTAAGCCATAGTGTTCCCGTTTGTAAGATAAGGCTCATAGTACTTTGTGAGGCAAATGTGAGGATCAAATAAGAGCTCATATATATTAAAGGTTTGGCACTGGGCCTTGTACACAGCCTACCATCCGTGAGCATTAGCTGTTGTCTATCTGTTGATCCAAAGATCATATGGCTGATCGTAAGTTAATCAGACATACGATCAGACAGGGAAAGCCTTTCAAAATAACTGGGACCTGCGCAGACCTGTAAATCTGTTTCTCCCACCCCCTCAGCTCAGTGCTCTGATCCCCACCTGTTTTCTCTGGTAGATAAACACCCGGCCTCCTCTCTGCTCCCCATAGAACAAGGGGGCTCCAATCAGCAGCAGCTCTGTCTCCCCATCTTGGTCTATGTCAACGCCACACAGCTCACCACCGAAATAAGAACCAATCTGTAGGGAGAGGAAGATGTTTGAGGATGAGGCCATGAGCAGGATACACCTTTTCCCTCAGCTGCATCCACTGTCTCAAATGAAAGTCTACATTCTGGTTCCCACTTAGAGCTTGTATGAATTAAGACAAGCTGAGTTCTTTGAGGTTCAGTTTCTTTAACTGGCAAGTGGAGATGACAAAGTTTACTTCAGAGGGCTTTGTGAAGAACAAATGTGACAGTGCTTGGCACAGGGCCTGCCACGCAACAAATGGATAAGTGTTCAGAAGGCAGCAGGGAGCACAAACACTGTCATACCAGCCCTGGACCTGCAGCGCCCATGGGTCATGCTCACCTGGGTCCCATTTATTTTCTGGATCTGGCTCCATTGTCTTTTGTCCTTTGACTCTTGGAACAACAGCACCTGCCCCACATGCTGGTATCGGGGGGCTCCAGCTGCCAGCAGTGATATGAGATTGTGGGAGGGCAGCCAGGCCACTGTGTAGCCTGAGGAGAGAGGATGGGATTTGGAGTTAGCAACACAATGACTGCCTCGGAAGCAGGTAAAGCCCAGGGGAGAAGGGGTAGAGACCCAGGGAAACTGGATTAGTAGCAAAGATGCATTGAAACATCCGGAAGACCTTCTCCTGAGAAAAGGAGCCACACGCTCAGAGCAGTACGATTCCTACCATCTTCGTCCAAGGGTGCATTCCTCAAACTGAGGACAATACATACACCCAAGGAAAGCAGCCAAGGGGTAAACATGGAGCATCTTCCTGAGCCTCAGTTCACCTGAGGGTTGGTAAGTGAAATTACATTTTTAAAAACATAATAAAATATAGGGGGTGGAATAGGGGGAGGAGGGCAAGAGGGAAAATTTGGGATAACTGTAATAACATAAACAATAAAATATTAAAAAAATAAAAACATAAAATGGGATATATCAGTAAGAAGAATGCAAAGTTGTAAAGTTTGCAAAAATATTAAAGATAAAGCAGGAGACTTGAAAATATTTCCTGCTTAAAGATAATCGCTTCAGGCTACCATCACACATCACACTTTCTGTGGCGAGGTTCTGGCCCCTCCCTCACGACATTGAGGAGGAAGTGCTTCTGGAAACAACTAGGCTAGAGCCAGGAGCCATCCAGTAGGAATGTTATAATTCAGAAAGTGAGGAACTGACCCAAATGGGTCTTCTCTGCTTAGAGCAGTTGAAAATGAATGAGAAAAGCAGAGATATCTGCGACTCTATAGCACAAGAGAGGAAGGGTGAGAAGGCTGAACTACTCTCCTATCCATTCATGTATATTACTGAAGCACAGTAGTTAAGAACTTGCCTTTTGAAATCAGAGAGACAGGTTTTATTCTAGTGTTACTACTTCCTAGTTGTGTAATCTTGAGTGAATTGCTTTGCTCTGAGCCTCAGTTTTCTTATCTAAAAAAAAACTGGGGAAGTACCAACCTTCTAGGGTGGTTCTGAGGAGTAAATAAGACAATAGGTATAAAATGTTTAGCATTATGCTGGTGATATCTAAACTAAGATCTAAAGGATAGTAGCATAATAAGTACTCAAGATTAAATTTATTCATACACACACACACACGTGTGTGTGTGTGTATAGGAGGGGGGACCACCCCCCAAAATGGAATTTATTTATAAAAAATTGTGTATTTATTCTTACATGTTTAAACGTCAGTCACCTTCAAAGTACTCTCCATTTGATGCAATACTCTTATTGAGGCTTCCCCCGCCCCCCCCCGCCCCCCTCCCCTGCTCAGAACAGTTTTGAACTTGTCGATTTTGATGCCTTTCAGTGCTGCTGCTATTTTTTGATTCACCTCTTCTACATCAGCAAAACCTTTCCCTTTAAGGACTTTTTTAATCCAGGGAAACAAACAAAAAAAAAAGTTGCTCAGGACAAGATCAGATGAATAGGGAGGGTGGGGCACAGGGGTCATGACATTTTTGATCAAAAACTGCTCAACACTCAGCACTGTGTGGGCAGGTGTGCTTGTAAATCACCCATCATGAAATGGGCAAACACATTGAAAGCCTTCAAAAATCGCTGAAGCCACATGCAGCCTCTCAGAACAGCGCCAGCTGGTGCACTGATACAGATGGGTTCCTAGAACACTCACCCAGCGGGGGAAGCCTGTACTACAAAGGGCTGCCCTCCAGAAGATAATTCTGGGTGTTTGTTTTTTTTTGTCTCCCCTCGTGTGATGGGGTGGGTGCCTAACTTTGGAGCAACAATGCCAGCTATTTTGCAGGATGCTGAAGGACGAAAAACCGCCTTGAAGGCTGTGGTGTGGGTGCTGCAATGGACTAGCATTGGCTTTGGAGCTGGACTAACTGGGCATTGCCTACCAGTTTTGTGACCCTGGGCAAGTTATTTATTTATTTTTAAAGATTTTATTTATTTAGTTTTAGAGATGGGGGAGGGAGGGAGAAAGAGAGGGACAGAAACGTCGATGTGTGAGAGATACATTGACTGCCTCTCACACACTCCCAACTGGGGATCTGGCCCAGAACTCAGGCACATGCCCTGACTGATGACACTCAATCCACTACGCCAGGCCAGCCAAGGTTGGGCAAGTTATTTAACCTATCTAGTTTCTTCATCTGTAAACTAGAGATAATAAAATGCCAACTCACAGGGCTGTTGTGAAGATAAAATGAGATAAAATATGTTCGTACATGCCATACACTTAGAACAGTGCCTTGCTCAGTAAAGAACATCAAAACAAGAAAAAAAGAAAAAAGAAACAAATCACCAAGGGCAGCATCCCTTAGAAGGGTAGGTGCTGGCTGAATAGCATCAATTTTCTTGAGGGAAGAATTTGATAAGATCTTAGTGTTCTGAGAGTTTAATAAAGGAGTAGCCCACACCTGGATAGAGGTCATGGATGACTCAGGGTGGTTCTCGATCTGTGAGAAGGTAGAACCTGGAAGCAGTCCTATTCCAGGGCTCTTGGAGCCATTTTGGGCCTTGGGACATGCTGACTGCATCAACATAAACTAAAAGAGCTATAACATCTGAGCATAAAGGTGAGGCCCCTCTGCAGCCTAAGACTGACGCCACCTTGGATGGACAAGCATCTGCAGAAGTGGGCAGGACAAGGCTACAACTGTGGCACCAGGAGACAGAAGCACACAATAGCAACTGCGGATTGACCAGACTCATTTCCTTTGTGCTTGGCATCTGAAGAACTACAGAGACTCAGTCAACCCTGGAATTCCTGGACAATTCAACTGGAGGAGGCTTCAATGAGTCGCTGCTCATCCTCCTCCTAATGAAGCAGGTTGTTTTCTAATGGACCTGTAATTTAATTTAGAGGTATGACTACGTGACAACACAGAGGGGTCACTGCCATTGAAAGAAGTTTATTACTTACCGCTCCCGAAAGCAGGAAGCAGGTAGGCAGGCCATATTGGGCCACAGGGGGAAGCAGGAGGTTTAGTAAGGAGGCAGAAAGAGCAAGGGCGAGTATGGCCTGAACCTTTATCATGGTTTCTGGGGGAAGGAATGAGTGAGGCAGGGTAGGCAAGCTTGAACAAGTTTAAGATTAGATAGTTTGAATAGTGTCAGTAGGCTCTGGGATACAGGGATGGTCTTCAGGTATCTAGTACCTGGCCCTGGGGTGATTCAGGTCAGGGGGAATGTTGATTTGCTTGTCAAAGTTAGCTAAAGGGGGAAGTTGGGGCTACAGCCTCCCCCTTGGTTGGCTGGCACATGCAAGGCCTGCTCTTGGCCATGTTGTTTACTCTTTGTAGGAATGATCTGGCCCTGGGAAGGGCAGTCTTTCTATGATTAGCAAGGCTTCAAGATATCAAGATCTCATAAAATACAGAAAATATGGCCAAGATGAAGGTGTAGGTAGATAGATTTTGCCTCCTCGCACAACCAAAAGGACAACAACCAATTTAAAAACAAAAAATTACCATAATTGCCAGAAAACCGAACTGTATGGAAGTCCAACAACCAAGGAACTAAAGAAGAAGCATTCATCCAGACTGGTAGGAGGGGCGGAGACAGACAGCTGGGGAGGAGAGGACATGTGGCAAGGCGGCAGCTGGCAGACTGGATGGTCCCACATTTGTGTGCAGATAAACCGGAGGAACATATGGGGAGTGAGACAGACCACACAATGGAGGGTTCCAGTTTGTGAAAAGAAAGCCTCAAAACCTCTGGAGGTAGAAACCTGTGGGGGTGTGGCAGGAGAAACTCCCAGCTTCACAGGAAGAGTCTGTTGGAGAGACCAATGGGGTCTTAGAATGTACATAACCCACCCACCCAAGAATCAGCACTAGAAGGGCCCAGTTTGCTTGTGGGTAGCAGAGGAAGTGACTGAAAGCCTGCCGATAGGTGAGCAAGTGGCATTGTTCCCTCTCGGACCCTCTCCCACAGGCAGAGTCACAACTCAGTGACCTGGATTGCCCCACCCTGGCCAATACCTAAGGCTCCACCCCTTCCAACAATTTCCAAGGCATGCTGAGACAAAGAAATACAGCCCAAATGAAAGAACAGATCAAAGCTCCAAAAATAGAACTAAATGATGAATAGATAACCAGCCTATCAGATGTACAGTTCAAAACACTGGTAATCAGGATGTTCACTGAATTGGTTGAGTATGGTTGCAAAATGGAGGAAAAAGCAAAGGCTATGCAAAGTGAAATGAAGAAAAATATACAGGGAATCAACAGTAAAGGGAAGGAAACTGGGACTCAAATCAACGATTTGGAGCAGAAGGAAGAAATAAACATTCAACCAGAACAGAATGAAGAGACAGAATTTAAAAAAATGAGGAGAGGATTAGGAACCTCTGGGACAACTTTAAACGTCCCAACATCTGAATCATAGGGGTGCCAGAAGGAGAAGAGGAAGAGCAAGAAATTGAAAACTTATTTGTAAAAATAATGAAGGAGAAATTCCCCAATCTGGCCAAGGAAATAGACTTCCAGGAGAACCAGGAAGCTCAGAGAGCCCCAAAGGAGTAGGACCCAAGGAAGCACACACCAAGGCACATCCTAATTAAGTTATTCAAGTTAAAATACAGGCGAGAATCTTCAAAGCAGCAAGAGAAAAGGAGACAGTTACCTACAAAGGAGTTCCCATAAGACTATCAGCTGATTTCTCAAAAGAAACCTTGCAGGCAAGAAGGAGCTGGCAAGAAGTTTTCAAAGTCGTGAAAAGCAAGGACTTACATCAAAGATTTCTCTGTCCAGCAAAGCTATCATTTAGAATGGAAGGGCAGATAAAGTGCTTTCCAGATAAGGTCACGTTAAAGGAGTTTACCATCACCAAGCCCTTATTATATGAAATGTTAAAGGGACTTATCTAAGAAAAAGAAGATCAAAAACTATGAACAGTAAAACAGAGAGGAGGAGGAGGGGAAAGGATAGGGGAAAAAGGTACAGGGAATAAGCAGCGTAAATAGTAGGTACAAAATAGGCAGGGGGAGGCTAAGAATAGTATAGGAAATGGAGAAGCCAAAGAACTTATATGTACAACCCATGGACATGAACTAAGTGGGGGAGGAATGATGGGGGTGGGGTGATGTAGGGTGGAGGGTAATAAAGGGGAGAAAAAAATGGGATGACTGTAATAGCATAATCAATAAAACATTAAAAAAATACAGAAAATAGCCCTGGCTGGTGTGGCTCAGTGGATTAAGTGCTGGCCTGTGAATCAAAGGGTTGCCAGTTTGATTCCAGTCAGGGCACATGCCTGGGTTGCAGGCCAGGTACCCAGTGAGGGGTGCTTGAGAGGCAACCACACATTGATGTTTCCCCTCTCTTCCTCCCTCCCTTCCCCTCTCTAAAAATAAATAAATAAAAAATTTTTAAAAATACAGAAAATAAAAACATGATTAATACACACATGAAGGGTTATTAAGAGAAAAGTTAAGAATGTTATAACCATATTTAAACTCTGAGTTTCGTTCATGCTGTTGCTTAATTGCTTTCATTTATTTTTTGAGCCAGTCTGAGCGATTCTCTGGCCCCTATAAGCAAAAGAACCCAACATAAAAGAGAAGTACTCACCCAAATATCTTTCTCTCTCTTCTGATGTTGGTGATTCATTCCCAACAAATGTATCATCCTGCAGGTCTTCCTTCAGGTCTAGAAAGCCCCCAGCCCAGTCCATGGCTCCAACTGTCCCCACAACAACATGGCCCTGCCCAGGGAGGGAGACGAACAGGGTCTAAGCAGGGTCGGCTGCATTCCCACAAGATCCCTTGGCCCTTTGCTTCAGGCCTGCCACTCACCCTGCTGAGGTCAGCGCTGATCCCACTGGAAGACAGCTCCATTTTGAAGGATGTCAGGTCCTGTTTGTTTGTGCCTAAGGAACAAGGAGAGGAAATTGGGCAGAAACCCAAGGAGCAGTAAAAACAGAGATATTCATGAAAGGACTGAGAGAGAAGCACGGCCTTTGCAAGCACAGTATTTGCTAGGTAGAAAGAACGAACTTCAGAGTCAGACAGACTGGGAGGTGGCTTATGCTTTGAGTCTCAGTGACACTCCATTAGCCCAGATGGGTATCCAGTTACTCCAATCAGCATGTCTAAGATGCAGCACTTGATTTCTGTTTGTACTCAGACTTACCCACTTCAATGGATGGCAACCCCAGCCACCGGGTAAATCATGCTAAAAACCTAGGGATAATCCTTGATTCTTTCCTGTCCCCCTGTTCTATCCCCAACATATTATTAAATAATATTGATTTTACCTTCAAAACACATCTGAATAGTCTGCATTGCCGCCGCACTAGTCCAGGCCAATCTCATCTCTTCCCCGACGAATGCAGTAACTTACTAATTTGGTCTCTGACTCCATTCTTTGTCTTTCCACACTTTTTTCCCATGGAGCAAGCCAGAGTAAACATTTTTTTTAAAGTGTATCAGATCAATCTTTCACCTTCTTAAAAATATTTCATTAATTCCCATTGCTCTTTAAACAAAAATTCAAAGTCCTGTTAGGGTCCCTGCCTATCTCTTCAACCTTTCTTCTCCTTTACGCACCATATTCCCATCACTGACCTTTCCATTCCTCTAATATGCCAAACCCTTCCCCATCTCTGGGCCATAACACTTGCTCTTCTCTCTGACTGGAATGCCCTTTATCTGCATTCTTCACATGGCTGATTGAGTCTCATCTTTCATGTCTTAGCTAAAAGTCATGTCAGAGTGAATGTTACCTCAACTAAAAAAGGCATCTTCCTTGAATAGCCTGTCTGAAGGGGTTTCGTCCAGTTAAATCTGTCTAATTTCCCTTTGTTTCTTTTTTCTTTTACAGAAGTACATAGGAAGAAACCCCTAACCCAGACTTCAGGATCAGTGAGAACTTATCAGAGGGAGGGACATCTAACCTAAGACCTGAAAGATGAGTAAGAGCAGGTCAGGGGAGAGGATATGGGGTATAGATTATAAGAGCTACAATTTAGTGAATGCCTACAAGGCACCAAGCTAAGCAGTTGTTATGGGTTGTCATGTTCCCTAAAAAATGTATGTTGAGACTTCAAGTCAAGATGGAGGAGTAGGTAGACACGCTTTGCCTCCTTGCACGATCATAGAAAGAATTACAACTATGTCTCAAAACAAGTAACACTCAGAACCATCAGAAGATAGAAGTCCAACAACCAAGGATTTAAAGAAGCCACATTCACTAAGAAGGGTAGGAAGGGTGGAGTCATGGAGACAGGCAGAGAGGCATGCAGGTGCAGTGTGGTGAGGAGAGGCAGAGGCAGTGGTGGCAGTAGCAGAACAGATGATCCCACATTCACGCATGGTGGATAAAAATTAGAAGGGGTATCTTGGGAGCAAGTGATACCAGCGCCAGGCCAGGCTGCACAGCCCAGGGTTCCAGTGCCGGGAAGATAAATCCCCATAACTTCTGGCTGTAAAAACTAGTGGGGGTTGGGTCTGCAAAGAAACTGCTGGATTTTCAGGAGACTCAACTTAAAGGGTCTACACAGACTTAAAACACATGCAAGCTCACCCACTCTGGGATTCAGCACCAGGGTAACAACTGGAAGGGAGCCAGTCCCACACAGGAAGTGGGTGAAATGACTGGAAATGGGGTGAGTGCCAGGCAAACCTCCAGAAGCCAGAAAGCAGCATTGTCCCTTCTCTGAGCCCTGCCCCGACGCAGAGCCATAAAGTGGAGAAGTGGGTTGCCCTGCCCTGGTGATATCTAAAGCTCTACACAATTTACAGATGCCTTTTCTACAATAGGCCACACTACTAAGACAGGGAGTCAAAGCAACTCTACCTAATACACAGAAACAAAACAGGGAGTCTGCCAAGTTGAGGAGACAAAGAAACATGGCCCAAATGAAAGAACAGAACAAAACCCCAGAAAAATAACTAAATCAAGTGGAGATAGCCAGTCTATCAGATGCAGAGTTCAAAACACTGGTGATCAGGATGCTCAAAGAACTCATTGAGTATGGCAAAAACATAAGGGAAGAAATGAAGGTTACACTAAGTGAAACAAAGAAAACTTTATGGGGAACCATCTGTGGAGGGGGAGGAAGCCAGGATTCAAATCAAAGATTTGGACCATAAGGAAGAAATAAACATTCAACCAGAACATCAAGAAGAAAAAAGAATTCAAAAAAATGGGGATAGTATAAGAACCCTCTGGGACATTTCCAGATGTACCAACATCTGAATCATAGGGATGCCAGAAGGAGAAGAGACAGAGCAAGAAATTGAAAACTTATTTGGAAAAATAATGAAAGAACAATTCCCTAACTTAGCAAAGGAGATAGACATGCACGTCCTGGAAGCACAGAGAGTCCTAAACAAGTTGAACCCAAAGACGACCACAGCAAGATATCATAAGTAAAATGTCAAAAGTTAGCCGTGGCTGGTGTGGCTCAGTGGATTGAGCACCGGCCTGTGAACTGAAGGGTCTCTGGTTTGATTCCCAGTCAGGACCCATACCTGGGTTGCAGGCCAGGTCCCTAGGGGCAGACATGTAAGAGGCAAACACACATTGATGTTTTTCTCCTTCTTTTTCTCCCTCATTCCCCCTCTGTCTAAAAATAAATTTAAAAGTCTTTAAAAAATAAATAAAATGTCTTAAAAGATAAAGAGAGAACCTTAAAAGCAGCAAGAGAAAAACGAAGAGTTACCTACAAAGGAGTTCCCATAAGCTACTAGTTGATTTCTCAAAAGAAACTTTGCAGGCAAGAAGGGACTAGCAAGAAGTATTCAAAGTGATGAAAAACAAGGACCTACTACTCTATCCAGCAACACTATCCTTCAGAATGGAAGGTCAGATAATATAGTGCTTCCCAGACAAGGTAAAGTTAAAGGAGTTCCTCATCACCAAGCCATTATTACATGAAATGTTAAAGGGGCTTACTTAAGAAAAGAAGATGATCAACACTATGAACATTAAAATGGCAGCAAATTCACAGCTATCACCAACTTAATCTAAAAAAACAAACTAAGTATACAATCAGAACAGGAACAGAATCATAGATGTGGAGATGATTGTTAGGAGAGTTATCAGCTGGGATGGGTAAGGGGGAGAATGCGGGGTGGGGGGGTGGGGGGAAGGTGCTGGGATTGAGAAGCGTAATTGGGTAGGTACACAATAGACAGAGGGATGTTAAGAATAGTATAGGATATGGAGAAGCCAAAGAGCTTATGCACAACCCATGGACATGAACTAAGTGCGGGGTGGGGGGGGGATTGCTGGAGGGGAGAGGGGTACCAGGCAGAGAGGGACAAAAGGAGAAAAATTTGGACAGCTGTAATAGCTTAATCAATAAAGTATATTTTAAAAAGCATGTTGAAGTCTTAACCCCTAGTACTTCAGAATGTGACCTTATTTGGAAATATGGTCTTTAAGAGGCAATCAAGTTAAAATTGGGTCATTAGGGTGGGCCCCAATCCAATATGACTGATGTCCTTATAAAATGGGAAATTTAGACATAGAGACAGATATGCACAGAGAGAAGATAACATGGGGACACACAGAAAGAAGACAGCCATATGATTGGAGCAATGCAATACAAGTCAAGAAATGCCAAAGATTGCTAGCAAACACCAGAAGCTAGAAAAGTCAAGGAAGAATTCTCTTCTAGAACTGTCAGAAAAAGCATGGCCCTGCTGACCCCTTGATTTCTCATATCTAGCCTCTAGAACTACGAGACATAAATTTATGCTGCTTTAACCACTGTTTTTTGGTAGTTTGTTATAGCAGACCTGGGAAACTAATACAGCAGTTATATCTTACTATCCTGTTATATTGGTATTATTATCCCCATTTAACAGAGAACAATGAGCCTCAAAGAGGAAGAATGACCTGGCTGAGGTCACACTGCACAAGAGTGGATTCTTGAACAGGTCTGCCTGGTTCTACTATATACGCCACATTGCTTCTTGAACTCTCACATTCCACCTTCCTGGACACAGGACCAAGGTATTCCAGCAAATGTGGGGGCTGGGCCAGAAGTCACCAATGTGCAGAACTGAACACCAAGGCTGTGTCCTAGCAAAAGGGCATTTCCCTGTTGGAACCATTTACCTTCCTGCAAACTAGGCTTCCTAGGGAAATATCTTCCCATAGCCAGTCCTCCATCTGGTAATGCCAATCAAAATCTTCTCTTATACTGGACCAAGGAAGAGGGCCTACAGAATATTTGCAATTGGCCCCAGCCTGCTTCCCCATCTTAAGTAATGTGAGGCCTAGGATAAGTGAAAATGGGGCAGCCGAGTCATTCTACAGGGCTCAACTGATACTAGCAAAACAGAGGTCAGTTCTGGGCCCCACCTTGAAACAAGCTACACTTCAAGAAGAAGATAGAATTTCAGAAGGAATAGAAGTTGCTCCTGAATCATCCTCTCCTAAATTCCTACTCAAGTTCTTTTTTTTTTTTTAAGGAGAGCTCTTATCCCGCTATCAGATACTGAGTAAGGGCTTGTTGCTACTATTCAGTGTGTCTCTAATCTAATATCCCAAGATGTGTTTCCATATATGGTTTTCTGAACTCTCTTTCCAAGGTATACCACTCACCCTCAATGGCATAGATCTTCTTTTGCAGCTCAGTGAATAGATCTTTAAGCTTCTCAAATGTGTCCAGAATCTTTACAAACTCTGTAGTGGGTGTTGAGGCAAATTTGTGGAGCATCTCCTGACTTTCCTTGGTCTGAAAATGCTTTCCGATCTGTGAGGGAGAGAAGAGTGAAGCGCTGACATCCCCAGAATCTCAGACCAACTTTGTACTATTTTCACAAGACCATGGCCCCAAGGAAAAGGGGTTTGGGTTCAGGAAGAAGAGACAGAAGATGAGAAGTAGGAAGAAGCCAAAGGCCTGGGGCCTAGGGCTCATACCCCAATGATGTAGCGGGTGATGTCTTTGGCCACGCTAATGTTGCCTCTGTCAGTGGCTTCCCCATCAGTGATGATGATAAGCACTCTGGTGGCATCTGGGCGGGCCCCGAGCTCCTGCTGGAATACCTGGGTCCTGTGTCCAGGAAAGGGGAATATGAAAGAAGCCCCCAAAATCATATGAAATCTCCCCAACCCCTGTCCTCTTTCCCGAAGTCATTGCCCTGCTGGTTATGCAAAAGCCCTTCTCACGTTCCCCGGTAGCTTTTTGCAGCCTTCCAAGTTCTCTACTGAATCTCCTTCCTTGCCCTTGCTGCCACACCTCTCCTGAATCAGTATCTTAACTGAATTATTAGTCAGCAAGTTGTGCCAGAGTCTATGGATGGTAAGGGGGAGGTTTTGTAAGAGGAGACTCTGGGCTTTTACCCTCCATTTCAACCACATGGCAACTATCCTTCAATCACATATGCTGGTGATTTAGGTGAGATTTTGGATGGAAAAAAAATGGGTTCCATGGTCAATGAAAACTGGAAAGTGACTTGTCCAGAGAAAGCTCTTATAGCACCTTTTCTGCTGCCTCTACCATCCCAGGCTGCCTGTAGACCTCTGCTACATCAAGTCTCCTAGGGATGTGAAGTAACTTATTTCTGTGCTGGTTTCTTCTCAGACTTACACATGAAATCCTCAAGGAAAGGACCATGCTTTATTTGCTGCTGTATTTCTGGTTGCTGGCCCAGAGTAGGTGCTCAGTGCATGTAAAAATAATAAAAAGAAGGGAGGACTGAAAACTGGATGGGCTAACTCCCAATTCCTGCCCTGTCCACGGCCTCCTTATGAAGCAAGATAGGTTGCCTACAGCTTTTACCAGGATGATAGCTGTATTTGAACCCTTTAACCCTCCCTCCTCACCCCACAGCTAACCAACGATGGACAGTTGATCCAAGAGCAGCCAATCTACAACACTTGACTATGACATGACCTGACTTGGCAGTGGAAGCTGAAAATTATATGGAGAGGCCACAGTGGAAAGTGGAGGAGAGACACAGAAAGGAGGGCTGAAGAGTTACTCAGAAGCTGCCAAAGACAGAAGAGCTCTGATGGGCAGGGCCAAAAACATCTGCTGTCAAAACCTCTAATTCTGTCTTGGATGCAAAACATTTTTTTCTTTGTTATTGTTTTTTTCCCCATAGACTTTTTTTTAAACCATTTATTTTTATTTTTAGTTTATTTTATTTTTTAGCATTTTATTTATTTAATTAATTAACTTATTATTATCCTCACCTGAAAACATACTTATTGATGTTAGAGAGAGGGGAAGGGAGGAAGAGAGAAAAGGGAGAAAAACATCAATATGAGAGAGAATGACTAGTTGCCTTCCGCACACGCCTAACAGGGGACAGAACCCACAACCTAGGCATGTGCCCTGACCAGGAATTGAATCCATGGCCTTTCAGTTTATGAGAGAACACCCAACCAGTTGAGCCACACTGACCATGGCTTGCATAGATTTTTTTTTAATTGATTTTAGAGGGAGAGAGAGACAAAGAGACAGGTAGAGAGACACATTGATTTGTTGTTCCACTTATTTATGTATTCATTGGTTGATTCTTGTATGTGCCCTGACCAGTGACCAAACCCACAACTTTGGCATGTGGGGACTATAATGAACTAAGCTACCTGCCCAGGGCTAGCAAAACATTTCTTTAACCTCAAGTCGCACAGACATGACCTATCATAAGCCCTGTTCATGGATTTCTACGCCATTTTAAACTATCTCACCTGCATATTTCAATAGCCTTCTAACTGGCCTCCCTGCTTCCATACCTGCCCCCTCCAGTTGAATATCTACCCTGTAGCCAGAGGGATCCTTTAAAAACATAAATCAGATTATCACTCTTCTGCTCAAAGCCTCCAAAAACTTCTCATCTGACTTAAAAGAAAAGTGCATGTCCACACTATAGCCTCCAGATCATCCAGACATCCATGGTCTCTCTGATCTCCTTTCCCACTACTTTCTTCCCTTACTTACTTCTCTCCAGCCACACTATGTCCTGGCTTTTCTTGGAACATCCCAAGCATTTCACCTCAGAGCCTCTGCTATTTCCTCTGCCTGGAATATTCTTCCCCCAGGTTTTCACATGGCTCGCTTCCTCACCTCCAACAAGCCTTTGTTCAAATGTAACTTTCCCTAATCTTTCTATTGAATATTGCATTTTTTAAATTAAACTTATATCTTCTACTGTATTATCTAATTTATTTATTTATCCTGTTTATTGCATTTCTCTCCTTTCCTAGAATGTTAAGGTCCAAGAGGGCAGAGATTTTTCTTTGTTCCATTCACTGGTATAGTCCCAGCACCTAGAACATAGCTAACAACCACCTGCAGACCAAAGCCAGTGAACATCTTGTTTTCATATGTTTCATGAGCTAAATATTTTAAATAATATTTTTGTTTTTAAAGGGTTATAAAAACAAAGAATAATATGCAACAGACATTGTATGTGACCAGAAAAACCTAAAATATTTACTATCTGGCCCTTTACAGAAAAAATTTGCCAACTTCTAATCTGGAACACTGCCTGGTACACAGCCAGATGGCCAAGAAGTATTTATGAAATACATTTCCATGATTGTTCCCTTTTGCTCCCACATTTGACACCATTTGGAGTGTCTTCTCATCCAGTGGTGACCATTTTCTCTAAGAACGGCCTCCTTCCCATGGAGGGACCCTGGAATCCATGTTTATGCCATGTGACTTTGCACTATAAAGTAGACAGAGCCACAGCTGGATGAACCCGAGGACACCTAAGGAAGGCTTAGCCAACTACTTTCTTGACTGAAGGCTGGAATTCAGGTTGAGGAACTGAGGCTGCCATTTTTTCAGTGAACATTGCTTGACTGTGTACCCACCAAATCTGTCTACAGAGAGAAAAGAATGAAGTAAACATGACAGGTCAAGTAAGTCCCAGAAGGAAAGAGCTGGAAACACAAATGCAGAGCTTTGAGATATACCACGTGCATATTTAACTCATGCAAATTCAACTACACATGCTTGGTAAAGAAATGAAAATGAGAGAAATAAGAGTAGTAGTACAGGAGATCCTTCCAGCTATTTCACTCAACTTAAGAGTATCCCTAGGGGATACATGACATAAGAGCTATAATTCTCTTATTCCTCAAATTGGTCTCAGTTTCCACGGCTAGTCTAATGTTTAAAAATAGGTATTTTAAAAATATACAGTATGGCCCTTTAACACAATCCAGCTGTTCGTTTAGGTCTCAATTTAAATACAGTAATCTGACTCAACTTCAGGGGGAAAAATTTCTGTAGTAAACTTAGAAAATTAAGATATGCTCGTTTTCAGTGTGAAACTTGAATATATTGAATTTTATGAACAAATCAAAGAATTCTTCAGGGATAATTTTGACTATTTGTTCATACACTGACTTCAAAGCTGATCTCCATCTATAAAGTGATTCTACTGAGGCTTCCGTGGTTCACAATCACTTTCCAAGTCCTGGTTCTAGTCCATTGTGAGGCCTGGCAATACTCTCTGTCCCATAAGTTATATCCCTGCAACATCCTTTTGGGGTTTAGTCAGCATAAGTCAATTTCTGTTACCTACAGTCCCGAACCTGGACTAAAGTTGCTTCACTTTAATTCTTACAATAACCTTCCCCTTGCTGAACACAGTTGTTGAGTTCTACACATCAACCTGAAGAAGCTGGTGCACACAGAACAACCAATGGATGGGCTTTCTCCTGCAAAAGGGAACTCACGCGACATAGTTTATGGCACCAAAGGTGTTGGTCAACAGGCGCATGTGTTCTACTTTGGCCAGCAGAACATCAGGGTTCTTCAGTTTAACATAATCCAAGAAATTAAATTCTGTTTTGTAAGTCGTGGAAAACTGAACAGCAGCAAACTATAAGAAGAAAGAAGAAATGAAATGATATATATCCCTTCTCGCTTGTCTGCTCCAATTACTTCTTCTTTTTAAAACTTTATTTATTGATTTTAGACAGAGAGAGATCAATTTGTTGTTCCATTTATTTATGCATTCATTGGTTGCTTCTTGTACATGCCCCGAACAGAGATTGAACCCGCAACTGTGGTATATCAGGACAACGCTCTAACCAACTGAGCTGTCTGGCCAGGACCTCCAATCACTACTTCTTACCCAGGACCTGGGCAACCCAACTTCATATCCCTGGCCTCAAATAATTCTTTTTCCTTTAATACTCACCCAAGAATTTTTTTTTCATTGCTTTCACAGAGAGAGGGAGGGAGGGAGAGAGAGCAACTTCAATGTGAGATAGAAACATTGTTTGCCTTCTTGTACACACACCAACTGGGGCTCAAACTCACAACCTTGGTATGTGCACTGATCAGGAAATGAACCTACAAACTTTTGGTCTATGTGACAATGTTCCAAACAACTGAGCCACACTGGCCAGCACTCAAATCATTTTTTTGAAAATAAACAAACACAAAAATAAAATTAAATGAACCTCTGACCCTTTATATGATACTGTTGCTGGGCTCCTGTTCTTTTGGTCTGTCTACCGTACCAACAGAAAGGGTTCCCAGCAGCCATAATTCTGCTGAGTGACCCTGCTAGATAGGATACAGTTTGGCTTGGACAAAGGGAGCCACCTGACTGAGATTAGGCCAGTAATCATTTTTCTCTGAAAATTGGGATTTGCAGTTGGAGGGGTTGGTTGAGAGAAAGATTAAAAGAAAAAAAAGAAACCTCTTGAAACTTTAACATGTGAACTTAAGAGCTTTCCACAGGCCCACATGATCCAAAGAAGCTGAGGGAGCCATCCTACAGAAAGAGAGAAAGAGAAGAGGGAAGCAAAAGCCAAAGAGAAACAGAAATGGGAACTAGAAAAAAATTTCAGAAGCTTTCTACTTCTTGGTTCTTGTCCCTTCCAGAGGTCCAACCATAGCCATGCCCTTAGGTCCTAGAGACAACTCATATTAAATTTTGTCTTATGCTGGTGTGGGTAGACATTTATTGCCTATAACCAGGAATCTTAACTAATGTATTTACCTGGTAGGAAGAGTTGCTGAGTTTCTTCATCACGTCCTTCATGAAGTCCAGGATTTTCTGAAATTCTTTTTCCTGCAAGCTCATTGAGCCATCAAACAGAAATACTAGGTCTACGTTGCCCTTCAGACATTCTGCAGAAGCCAGACACAAAGAGACTTAGTAAAGTGTCTCTGATGGTTGATCTGCTTGTGCTAATTTCCATGTATTTTTATCCACTGGATCCCCAGTCCCTTACCCTGGTAACCAGGACGCCCTTGCAACAGAGGACCCTTTAGATCCTGGGGGAAGAGGTAACACAGGCCACTTAAATAGATATTCTGGTCACATGTCCGAGATAGCCCAGGATCACAAGCCTGAAAGAAGCAAAAGTAAAAGGGTTGCGACTTCCTCTTGCTATGTTTTTTTGGTATCATCAGTCAAGAACAAAAACCTTCTGGGTCATTGTTTCCTTATCTCACACCCTACATCCAGCTGGTTATTGAGCCAAGGTAATTCTGCCACCAGGTCTCTCATACCAAACGTTCTTCCCTCCTACCAATGTTCTATACCAATGGATGCTCACTTCCTGGAGGATAAAATCTAAAATCCTTAGTTTGGCATTCATGTTGCTTATAGCTGGGCACTATCGTGCATTTCCAGGCCCATCCCCTCCCATTCCCAATCATACATTCTGTGTTTAAGTCAAATCAAATTACTCACTATTCCCAGAATATACAATGGTGTCCCTTTCATTTATGACCTATCTTTCCTGCCAATTTCTTAAAATTCAGGGCTCATGTCATGGTCATCTTTGTAACTCACTCCCCTTCCCTCATCATAGCCTAGCACATTGTGTGGCATGTCACAGTAGCTAAGTAAACAAGCTCCAATGAAATACAATCAATATTTCATTCAGTCTTCTATTTCTTACATAGCTCTCACATGCTGTTGGGATGACTTGTAAAGAGCAATGGACTTGGAATCAAATGGGAATTTGATTCAAATCCTGGTTCTACCTCTTTAAAACCATGTGACCTTGGCCAAGTCTCTCCCCTTTGGTCCTGTTTTCTCATGTGTAAAATATGAACACTAATTCTTAACTCACCTGTCTTGAGGGTTAAAAGAGATAAAGCAGTGTTTTTCAAATTTTAGGCATTTGTGCACCACTTCACAATTTCTGCCATATGATAGATCATTCATACTATTGTTTACTTGAAATTTTTTTTACTTTAAATTTATTTAAACAAAAACTTTAGCCTCATCCTAAGCAACGCAGTCTAAGAAATCATGAATTTGATGTGTTTGTGTATTTTTTCTACTAATCCATTAAATAAATATTTAACAATTAACACATTAAGTTTGTGTACCACCAAAAATCATCTTGAATATCAATTGTTAATATTTACTTTTTGGGAAAAAACTTAGGTAAGTAAGGTCTTAAAAATAGCTGGCTCATAATTTGTTCTCAATAAACACTAATTGAATCTGAATCTTTCTGATACCTTTAATCTTCTATAGGATCTTTTTTTTTTTGATATTATTTATTTATTTTTAGAAAGGGGAAGAGAGAGAGAAAGAGAGGGAGAGACACATCAATGTGTGGTTGCCTCTTGCATACCCCCTCCTGGAGGACCTGGCCAACAACCCAGGCAAGTGCCCTAGACTGGGAATGGAACTAGTGACCCTTTGGTTCGCAGGCTGGTGCTCAATCCACTGAGCCACACCAGCCAGGGTTTCTACGGGATCTTTAATCCATTTTTTCCTTCTGTCTTTTCAATCTGTTCCTTAGCATTTAGCTTCATAGGCTCCGATACCACACTATGCAAAATTCTTACCAAAAATCTTCCATTTGTGGGGTCCATCGCCAAAGTCATTCCCAAGTACTTAGAGGTGTGGTTGGAACCTGTAGGCACCATAAGATTGGTTGGTCTAGAGGAATTTAGGCAATCCGGGTGTGGTGGGGCCAGCCTCAATTTCCCTGAGACACAACTCCTCCCAGCTCCCTCACCAGTTACTCACCACTCAGGCTCACTGACAGGCATTGTCCAGTGTCTGGCTCGCACTGGTAGAGGTTTCCTGTACTGTTCCCCTCGCCTGGAGCTCCCACAACAACCCTAATGAGAAATCTCACTTGTGAAATGTAGTTACCCAGGGCTTTACCTACCCATTCCTACCTAATAAGGAGTTTCTGATACCACCAGGGATCTCGAAGCAATGCAGCCATTCTGCTTCAGGTTCCCACCTATTTCTTCCCTATTGAATCCCAGACATATCATCCAATATGCCAGAATTCTAGGAAGTTAAGTGTTTTTTTCCATCTACAGCCTAGAAAAACAGAGGCCCAGGGAATATGCCAGAATGTTATAAGTTTATCCAACCAGTCATCAATTCAAGAGTAATTTGTGGCATAGCTACTACGTGCTAGGCTGGGGGTGGGAGGAGCGGGAAGGAATTCATTGTGTAGTTAGGGAGAGACTCAGGAATCCAGGAAGTATTACCAAGTGTTTCAGGGGCTGTGATGTTTCCCTTTCTACTTCACATACATGGTGCTTAAACTGTGAATGGCCCTCATCCTACTATCTGATGGGTTTGCTCCTGTTTCTCAGAAATCTCCTCACGGACTCCTTGAGATCTGCCAGCCTCACTGGCCAGCCCCAGGGCTGGCATGGGGGCACCTCTTCTGGGGCTCTGCAGGGCAGGGAGGATCTGGGACATCAGCTCACCGGTTTCCAACCTGCAGGACGCGGTACCCAAAGTGCCTGCCGGCGTGTGGGAAGGACAAATTTTGCACGTGCCCCACATCCAGGTTGTAGCTGGAGGCCAGGGCTGAGGGAGACAAGAGGCACTTTAGCCACTTTGAGCCAGGGATCCCCCCCAACTCAGCACCCTGCACACAGATTGGCTGCTACCCACTTGCCCCAAGGGGCAGGCCGACCCCAGAGACCGGGCTCCCTCCTAACCAGCTGGCCCACTATGAGGCAGAGCTGGAACCAGCTTCCCTGGACTTCTCCTTGAGGGCCTTGGGTCAGGGAAATATGGAAGCAGCGACTCCCTCCTACCCAGAGCTCTGGCAGTCCCAGGGCCTGGGAAGAACACAACTTCCTGTTTGGCCTTTAAACAAAGAAGGAAGGATGAGAAGGCGGAGGCCTGTGAGAGAGGAGCAGAGGGAAGGGGCCCTCTGAGGAGATGGGGATGCCCCAAGGCAGGGTGCATCTCCCCACACACTCATTTCTCCCTTGGGCCTGAGGCCCAGGCTCCCAGAGAACTCAAATAATTAGCCTCAGGCTTCCTCCCACAGACTCAGGGTTTCAGGATCCTCTGATTCCTGTGAAGCTGCCTCCTCGCTTCTCTAATGCTCCCACACCCCCCACCCCACCAGGGTCCAGTGTCTTCCTTAACCATTACTTCTCAGATTCCCCCACCACAGGCAGCCTGGGCTTCCTCGGCAAGCCCCAGGCTGTCCTTTCTGACCCTGCTCGCCTTCCAGACATCAGGCTTATTTCACAGCATCCAGGATGTCAGAGATGAGGCCCCACGATTTGCTGAGATGGAGAGATTGAGGCCCAGAACGGGGAAAGGACTTGCCTAAGGTGGCACAGAGAAGTACCATAGGTGGAACCAGACCCCAGCCCAGCTCTAGGTACCCATTACCATCTGCCTTTTTCGGGGGCCCACTCCCCCATCTTTCACTAATGCCATCTTTGTCTCCCTTCTCTGTCTTTCTTTCCATCCTTTGCCTATGCTTTGGACTCTGACTTTCTTTCTTTGTCCCCCTCTCCTCCTAGGATTCCTAGATCCCACATGACACATGGCCAATTCCACCCTTAGAGCAGCTCCTCCTTCGTTCTTGATCCATAAAGCTTTGTGGTTCCCTGGTCACAGACACATGTTGTTTTCCCTCCTCTCCTCCCTTGCTTACCAAAGAGGAAAGGCCCAGACAGCAGCAGCCTCATTATGATGATGCAGGAGTTCATCTTTCAAGCAGCTGGCAGATCCTGACGCGGGCTGAGTCTAATAGGACCCTTGGGATTTGCTGGCAGCCTAGACCGGGTGAAAGAGGGAAATGATTATGCTCTGGAGGCCCCTTGCAGTGGAACATTCTCACAGAGACACCAGGCTGATGACACTGGGTGGTGGTGAAGGAGGAGTGATAGAGGTTGTGAAACCACAGGGTTCAGAGCGGAAGCGTAAGCAGGTTAGAGACATTTCCTGTGCTTGCATTTTCACATCATTCAGGGACAGATGGCCTTGGCACCAAGAACTGCTGCAGCTTAGTCTTCATCCGCGTTTGAATTCAAGACTCTTCACACCTCAGGAGAGGACTGGCCAAATAAATTGTGGTACAACCATAATGGGATAGCTTCCTCTTAACGTTAAAAGATGCCCACAACACACTGTGAAAGAAAAAGAGCAGATTATGGAACAGCATATTTAGAAATTCATTTTGATTCTAAAAAATAAAAAATAATACCCTCAGAATGAGAGAAAATATTTGTATATTATATATTCTGATATGGGACTTGATATATTCTGATATGGGTATCTTGAATACATAAAGAAGTCTTGTAACTCAACAATAAAAAGACAATTCAATTTTTTAAGTGGGCAAAAAATGTGAATGACATTTGTCCAAAGATGATATGCAGATGGCCACCAAACACATGCAAAGATGCTCAACATAATTAGTCATTAGAAAAATGGAAATAAAAACCAAAATAAGATACCACTTCATGCTCATGAGGATGGCTAGCATGAGGACAAAAGGAAGAAAATAACAAGTGTGGGTAAGAATGTGGAGAAATTGGAACCCTTGTGCTTGGCCAGCAGGGATGTAAAATGGTGCAGCCACTGTGAAAAATATTTTGACAGCTTCTCAATAAAGAGAAATGGTAGAGTTACCATATGACCTAGTAATTCCTGGGTATAGACCCCAAATGATTGAAAACATGTTTTTACAGAAATTTATACATGAATTCTCATAACACCATTATTCATATTAGGAAAACTGGAAGCAATGCAATGTCCATCAACTGATGAATAGATAAACAAAATGTGGTTTGTATCCATACTCTGGAATATTATTTGGTCATAAAAAGGAATAAAGTACTGGTACATGCTACAACATGGATAGACTGCAAATATTATACTAAGTTAAAGAAGTCAGGCACAAAATGTCACATGTTGTATGATTCCATTTAAGTGAAATGTACAAACTAGGCAAATCTATAGAGACAGAAAGTGGATTAGCGGTTGCGAGTATGAGGGGAAGTAGGGAAGGAGGAGTGACTGCTAATGGGTATAGGGTTTCTTTTGGGGGCAATAAAATGTTCTGGAATTAGATAGTGATGACAGTTGACAACTTTATGAACATGTTAAAAACCACTGACTTGTACACATTAAAACAGTAATTTTATGTATGTGAATTAAATCTCAAAAAACAAAAAATAGAAGTTGAAATTATGTGCATGTGTGTATGAGTACAAAACAAATTGGAAGACACAATCAAACTCCAAACAGAATAAGGTTTATTCATTTCTGTATTGTCTGAATTTTTTTTTTTACTACGAGAATGTATAATGGGTGGTTTTGGAAAAACAAAAATATTAAAAACACAACAGAATAGAGGAACTATGTTTGTTTGTGGGAAAGTAGAAAGGACATTGAGATTTTCCCTGTGTTGTGAGGAAAGCCTGCTCAACCCAAAAGATCACTTCCAGTATTGCTGCCCCGGGGAAGGCTCTTGCAGGCAGATTATTTATAATGCACTGCCAGGCAGCTTCAACGTGACAAGTTGGCTCCCGGTAATGAGATGAAGTCAGATGGTCTTTTTCAAATTCAGTTAAAATCAGATAGTTCAGACTGACTCCTTTGATTGTCTGGGCAGCAGTTCCAATGCACATCTAACCAAATTCTTTGTTTTATTCTGAAATTACAAAAACATACATTTTAAAATTCAAAAGTTAGAGCAATGTGTAGAGTAAAAGGATGATGACTCTCTTCTAACATCCACCTCCTGCTCCTAAATCTCAAAAAGAACCATTGTTAACAATTTAGAGCCATACATTCTTTATGACAAAAATTGTTTGTTCTAGTTAACCACACAGGTTTGACCTGTTTGGAAAAACTCTAATTATCTCACCAGAGAACATCTAGCTCAAAATTAACAGTCTAATCAGCTACCTCCAGTGTATAGGTTTTCCTTCTGAAAAATTTGGATGCTTGAGTTAGGGCTTAGGTTTATAGAAGCTTTAAGCGTTATTGGTAGCAACACCTGGGATAAAAGGAATTCAGGAAATAATCTCAAAGTCTCCACTGCTTGGATTACAATTTATGTGTATTTTCAGCAGGCAAAGTATACTCATTTATATATTTATCATGTTCTGTTTAAGAAAAAAAGAATACTTTTTTCTTGTTCTGGTTGAGGACTGTAAAGCTGAGGAAGCTACAAACTACAAGTAAGCCCCAAGGATTCTGCAAATTAGTCAGAGGCTCAATGCTCAGACAGCAGCAGAGTTAGGCTGCAGAAATCTCAGGCTGGGACCATGGGCGCCCGACGTCCTGAGGCAGGATGTGCCTTGCACGAGCTACACACACACACACACACACACACACACACACACACACACACACAGCTTCCTTAATCAAAGCTGACTTCATCATATCTCAAACTATCAGTTCTCTGAAGGCCCAAGTCCTCTGAACTGTCTCTCATTTCTATTCCTTTTGTCTGAAACGCCGTCAGGTATCAACAGAACCTTTATTGCCATTTCAGTTTCCTTTCCTCAGTTGGCCACCCCTAGAGAAGGTTCTATCTCCCAGGCACTACGAAATTAACCTTGAGAAACCTGAGCATCTCTCTCCTAGTCTATCAAATCTCTCATGAGTTCCCTTTTGCATACACAAAATCAAGTCCAAGCTCGTTGGCATGGCTTTTAAGAGCCTCACTGCCTCTTCATATCCTGTGCTCTGACTTACCAAACCTCTTATCAGTGTTCAAATAGACCAAGTCTCTAGAGAAGAATATATGAAACTTGAAGCATTGGCCATACCAAGAGCCCCTTCTAAGGAAAGCAGTTTCAGTAGGTGCTTTCTGCATGATGTCATCTTGGCTACATTAAGTGAACAATATGAAACTGATCCTGCTGATGTAGAGGGCAGCAGGAAATGCTGACTGACCCAAAATCAATGCCCAGGGCAAAGGTAGCCATGCATAGACTGAACCTAACAGATTTTTTACAAAATGCCTGGGTTACTCTATTTATTATGAATTGTTCCATACAGGATCATGAAAATGGACCCAAACATTTAATCTCATAGATGAATGACAAATGAGATCCTAGACTGGGAATTTCTGGGCTACACAGAATCTGTGTATCTAAGACAGAGCCAGCAGTCTGGATGCCGCAAGTCCTCTGCGTCCTTTGTGAGGTAAAATGATTTTAATAATGTCTAATTTTTCTACAGGTTTATAAAAAAAAATGAGAGAGCATTTTCCATTGCTCCACTTAAGGGAGTGAACAGGATTTTGTGTCCAGCCATTTCTCATCTTCATCACTGATATTTCCTTGGTCCAAGACATCGTCACCTTGTGCCTGCTGGATTTTGTGGCATTCCCCTGACTTACCTGCTTCCAACGCTGCCCCTGCTACAGCCTATTCTCTGTAGAGCGGCCAGAGGGATCCTTTGAAACTATGTCAGACCCTGTCGTGTTCTTACTCAGATCCCTCCATTGGCTTTCCATTTCACTCAAGCTACAAACCAAAGTTCTGAATGTGGCCCACAAAGCCTTAATCTATCAAATATTTCAGTATTTCTCTAACCTCGGTCTCCTACAGCTCTCTCCTTCCCAGCCACTCTCCCTATCATTCCAGCACACCTCTGCCTCAGGGCCTTTGTCCTTGCTGCTCTCTCAGCTTTCTCAAGAAAGACTTATGGCTCAGGCTTTTATCTCCTTTAGATCTCTGATCCTTAACACTTAGAGATTTCTGTTAATACTTTCTAATTTATTTACTCATCCAATTTATTGTTGACCTTTCCCACTAGAATGTAAACTCCCCTGGGACAGTAACATTATTTGCTGTTATTCACTGCTATATCCCCAGTACCTAAAACAGTACCCTGAGCGGAGTAGGTAAATACATACTCAGTAAATATTTACTGAGTGAATGCTTGCTTGGGGCTGCCTAGTCCCTGAGAATTAAGAGGCTTTTTGCTTTCCAAGGTCTAGGCTCTCAGAAGCAGTAAGCTGTATCTCCCAAAGGGAAAGGAAAATAAGGTTAAAGGAGTTCAAAACAGGCTGAATTCCTAGAGCCAGGGATTTACTTAATATTTAAAAATAAATAATAAACTGGAGGCAGGTAAGCAATCAGTTGGTTCCTTCCAAGAATGTAGAGAGAATTCTTGGGAGAATGGTGCAGAACTACAGAGAAGTAGATGCTATGAGAGATAAATTGTGAGGTCTACAAAGGAGGAACAGTGATAACTTGGAAGGCTACCTCCATTCCCAATGGTCTCTCTAGTCCTAGTCCACACATACTCACACTGAACTCTCCTGTGACTCTTGAATGAATAAAATGTGGCTCTCTTCTGTCTCTTGAGGCAGAGGTGTGACAGAAGGAAGACTCTGGGCATGCTTGGGGACCTATGGGCCTCTGGCTGATGTAGAGGGCAGCAGGAAACGCAGGTTGAGGCCTCGCTACCCCCACACCAACACCAGGCCTGACTGCCTACGAATCTAGCACTAACTAGGTGTTGAGGTAAGAAACATCCAACCCTTGGAGAATTTGCATGAGTTTATTTGAGTCAAACTGACTACATGCACTGGGGAGCAGGATCTCAAATGCTACGAAGAGTGACAGTTTTGCAGTTTCTTCTGTGCATTTGAAATTAGCGACTGAGTCCTGGCTGGTGTGGCTCAGCGGATTGGGTGCCAGCCTGTGAACTAAAAAGTTGCCGATTCTCAGTCAGGGCATATGCCTGGGTTGCAGGCTAGGTCCGCAGGTGAGGTCATGTGAGAGGCAACTGATTGATGTATCTCTCACACACCCATGTTGCTCTCCCTTTCTTTCTCCCTTCCCTTCTCTCTAAAAAGAAATAAAATCCTTTCTTAAGAAAAGAAATTAAGGAGCAACCATAAGATTATATTGGATAGTTAAGATTACGTGCTCTCTTATGGGTGATCTACTTTAGAAGGAAGGGTGTGAAAGGGAGCATTT